TACAGACAAATACCTATCAACATACTTACCGATTAAAATCGATACGTAACAAAAATGGTCACAACCACAGATTCGCGTTATGCATGGGAATTCCAACAATTTTAGCCGTCATATTCGGTTTACTGTGAGTTCTCACCCGTTTACAGTCAGTGAAATACCAGACAAAATATCCTATGCTACGAGATTTTCTTCCGCGAAATTCAGCTATTTGGATTTTAATACCTCATAGTTATTTCTTAATCAAATTAACACGAACTGCTTCAAGCCTTGCGTCAGTTAACATTTACTAACTCGCATTACCATTATTCTCTATACATAGTGTCAGTATCTCTTGGTATATTAGTAGTCGTCGGTATCTTCACTTTGACTTTCGTGACTCTCAGTGTTATGGTCGTTTTATAGTATCAGCATTTATTAGAGGCTATCACTCACTAAATCGCGATTGCTGTTATTGACGTTCCTCGTGCCAATTTCCTTTCAACTCAATGGTTCAGTGACTGAATTTATTTAGGCATGTTTCAAGTCATGCTCAGCTGTAAAAAATGTTAGAAGCGTAGGTGCTATACGTTGGCACATTTTTGGTATTTAAATTTTCATCATTACTGTATCATTCCTTGTTTACAAGGCCGGTCCAATATGACGTCATAATGAAGATAAACACTCTTTTAATGACTTATAATTTGATTGCAGACTTTATTTGAGAATGATTAGATACATACCCCATGTTTTAGATCCCCAGGTGACACTATTCAATAAAGTTTTATCCAAAGTGAACTCAATGTATTTTGCATTACTAAAATCTAAAAGCAGCTGTTATTTACCTGATATACCTATAATACAGCCTCAACCTGCAGTCAAAAACTATATTTTAATTACAATCGGGCACCTCGCATTTAACCCCGAATCTAACTTCAATCCGTATTGGTATTTCTAACTGCAAAATTGAGAATACTAAAACCAATACTCAACATCATAAAAGGTCTCCGAAGACTCTTACTAACAATGAACATTAAGCTAGACAGTGACAATGCATCCGAGCTGCTTGCTATCAATTTGCTAATTACAGTGATTAATCGAAACACTGTCGAAATACTGTTATGGGACATTGCGTCAGACGATTTTCGTCCACTGCGTAACGTCATGCGTCATTATATCCAGAACTGAACTGAGTCCTTATTGGAGAGCTGTCGTTCAACATAACTGTGTCTAAATAACAAGTTCAAACTATTACACTTAACGAACTAGTGCAATGAAAGTCATTGGTTAGCACATAATTATTCGAATCTTTTATACCGAGACCCTGACAATAATGGGAAAATGCGAGATTTGAGACAAACACCCCGCCAAGTTTTAAAAGAAAAAATTAGCAAATCATTCGTAAAGTTAGGGTTATAAAATATTTAAAAATTTTAATTTCCGGAGTAATCAGCATTCCTAACCCCAAGCCAAACCCTAACTGGATAATTACTTTTTTGTTCAGAGCGGTGGCGGGTTCGTTTTTTGGCGCAGGATTTGTAAAAAAGATCCAAACGTTTCACATAAAAGGTACTTCGTTTTTGAATCAGGGACTAAGTTTGCCCTGAGTAATACTTTGCTCTGTGGAGGTTAAATAAAAACCAGACAGTCTTCACTAGAGACTTCGAGAACATTTGGAACAATCTCTTGTGGAGAACGATTTTGAACTCTGCTCATATTGCGTGTCATCTGCTATGTCTCATATGCATGTCCGGGTTCGGAGAAATGTTTTACGACAAGCGCATCTGCGACTAAACGTGACCGCAACCGACGACTGAGAGCGGCAATGAGGCAATTCCTGAACCTGCGAACGCAGTTGAAACTCGTGTCGTGCGGTGTGCTCAAGTCTTCAGCGATTGCAAAAATTCACTTTCAGCTTTCAGTACTTTAATCTGTTCAGTTGACCTACCGACGCACATAAAAGTTTATATCAAAAAACATAGTAAAACACTAATACATATTAATAATACGATGATTATACTCGTTTCTTGATATTGAAGAATAATGTTCAATGCCAAATGATCTCAAGTATTAAAAAAATGAATCATTTCAAATGCAAAGAGTTTAGAAACGGTCTAGTTCTGTCAATAACCTAACAGTAACTTAATAAATACTGGCGGCTATGTGATTTTCAGATATTTTTCAGCGTTGGCCCGTTTTCAGCTATTAATTTTAAGTCATATCTCCGACAAAGTTTAGTAAATGAAAAGTCGGTACATATTCTCATTGGTAAAAATAGGTTAAAATATAGGAAAAATTATCCACGATAGTCATTTAGCATTTTCGCTGTATTTTCTTCATCTGATGAAAAGTGTCACTATGGAGTAAGAGCGCTGTTTTGGGGATCCCCTAACTTTCGATCGTTAAGTCAACGGTCTCTGACCGATATTCTCGTTTATTTCTTAATCAAATTAACACGAACTGCTTCAAGCCTCGCGGCAGTTGATATTTACTAACTCGCATTACCATTATTCTCTATACATATAGTGTCAGTATCTCTTGGTATATTAGTAGTCGTCGGTAGCTTCACATTGAGTTTTCGTGACTTTGAGCAAATTTCCAAAGAAACGTCTCAGTGTTATGTTCGTTTTATATTATCAGCATTAATTATGGACTATCACTTACTAAATCGCGAATGCTGTTATTGACATTCTTTGTGCCAATTTCCTTTCAATCCAATGGTTCAGTGACTGAATTTTTTACGCATGTTCAAGTCACTCAGCTGTGAAAAATGTCAAAACGTAGTGCTATACGTTGGTACTTTTTTGGTATTAAATTTTCATCATTACTGTACCTTCCTTGTTTACCAGATCGGTCCAATATGACGTCATAATGAATATAAACATGTTTTAAAGACTTATAATTTGATTGCAGATAAAACGATACAGGCGATTCCCTGCTCGTCTATCTATGTATGGTGACCAACGTAGAATGTAGATTTGTATGATGATGTTTCAATTCATTGATGGAAGAGGAGATTCTGACTACAAAGATTTGGAGAAGAATAATGACATACGTAAGTTTTTGAGACGTACGATATTTTCGACAATAACCCTGTTTAAAGAATCTTCTTATTCACATTAAAAAGCAATCATATATGAACGTTATGTTTTGTTCAAAATCAAATTATTGACTAAAAATACTCATGTCTGTAGCTTTCAGATACTGGTATTTTTCCAAATGCATTACTTTCCAATTTGAAGTAGTCCCGAAATCTAGTCACAACATAAGAATTATTTTTGATTTTATTTTCCGTATAGTCAGTAATCTTCTCGTCATTTTATGAAATTATATTATACTCCGAAATGAGCTTACTCACTCATTCATCCACACTTGATTACATCGCGAGCGAACACGGTTCTTCTTGTTTTGATAACATTTAAGAATGAGTTAACCTTCTACTTTCCTGGCTTACGTGAATGGAGACCATTGTCAACGTGCCCCATGCCCTGTCCCAGCCAAATCGATTTATTGTCAACTATATTCAGTTTTCAAGCAACTCGACTCACAGCGATAAAGTGCCCATCTCGCTTTCTGTGCCTCAAAGTTTTGCCGCAATTGAATCCAACTTGAAATCGGTTTTATTCTTTCATAACAATTAATACGATGGTACTTGAAACAAAATCAGGAACATCGACATTCGAATGAAACCTACGAAAATGAACAAACTGAATATAACATGCGGATATCTAAACAAATCTTACAGTAGTGTACAGTGGCAATTAAAATTTACAAATATCAGCAGATAACTAAATGCATAAAATTATATATATTACTTTATTTGAGACTGATTAGATACATACCCATGTTTTAGATCCCCAGGTGACACTATCCAATAAAGTTTAATCCAAAGTGAACTAAATGTAACTTGCATGGCTAAAATATAAAAGCAGCTGTTATTTACTAGTATAACTATAATACAGCTTTAACCTGCAGTCAAAAATTATATTTCATCTACAAACGGGCATCTCGCATTCAACCCCGATTCTAACTTCAATCCAAACTGGTATTTTTGACTGCAAAATTAAGAATACTAAATCCAATACTGAACATCAGAAACGTCTCCAAAGACAGCAACTAACAATGAATATTGAGCTAGACAGACAGACAGTGACAATGCATCCGAGCTGCTTGCTTTCAATTTGCTAATTACAGTGATTAATCGAAACACTGTCGAAATACTGTTATTGGACACTGCGTCAGATGATATTCGTCGACTGCGTAACGTCATGCGTCATCATATTCAGAACTGAACTGAGTCCTTATAGGAGAGCTGTCGTTCAACATAACTGTGTCTAAATAACAAGTTCAAACAATTACAATTAACGAACTAGTGCAATGAAAGTCATCAGTTAGCACATAGTTATTTGAATCTTTTATACCGAACCCTGAAACTAATGAGAAAATACTAGATTTGAGACAAACACCCACCAAGTTTAAAAAGAACAAATTATCAAATCATTCATCAAGTTAGGGTTATAAATGATTTAAAAATTTTAATTTTCGGAGAAATCAGCATTCCTAACCCCAAAGTCAAATCCTTACTAGATAATACTTTTTTTTAGTTAGAGCGGTGGCGGGGTTGTTTTTTGGCGCAGGATTTGTAAAAAAAGATCCAAACGTTTCACATAAAAGTTACTCAACGTTGGGTTTCCTTGTTTTTGAATCAGGGTCTAAGTTTGCCCTGAGTAATACTTTCCTCTGTGAAGGTTAAATAAAAACTAGACAGACTTTACTAGTGACTCTGAAAACATTTGGAACAATCTTTTGTGGAGTACGATTTTGAACTCTGCTCATATTGCGTTTCATCTTCTATTTCTCATTTGCATGTCCGGGTTCGGAGAAATATTTTACGACAGCCGCATCTACGACTAAACGTGACCGCAACCGACGACTGTGAGCAATTCCTGAACTTGCAAAACGCAGTTGAAAATCGTGTCGTGCTGTGTGCTCAAGTCTTCAGCGATTGCAAAAAATCACTTTCAGCTTTCAGTACTTTCATCTGTTCAGTTGACCTATCGACGCACATAAAAAGTTTATATCAAGAAACATAGTGAAATACTAATACGCTTTAATAATACTATAATTATACTCGTTTCTTGATGTTGAATGAAAATGATCGATTCGTATTTCATTGCAACTTTCGTTTCATCAACTTTTTAACACAAACGGGGTGCTGCGAACGTGATTTTGTACATTTATATTTTTTTAACAAATGCCAAATGATCTCAAGTATTAAAAAAATGAATCATTTCAAATGCAAGAAGTTTAGAAACGGTCTATTTCTGTTAATAACATGACAGTAACTTAATGAATACTGGCTATGTGATTTTCAGATTTTTTTCAGTATTTATTGGCGCGTTAGCCCATTTTTCAGCTATTAATTTTAAGTCATATCTCAGATAAAGTTTAGTAAATGAAAGGTCGGTACATAATCTCATTGGTAAAAAATAGGTTGAAATTGAAAAAAAGTCATCCTCGATAGTCATTTAGCATTTTCGCTGCATTTTCTTTATACAGTGTTTCTAATGTTTCGACCTGCTTGCCAGAAATTTTTCGATATTATCACATATACGGCATACGCCTCAAAACTAAAGTGCTTTGATATATTTTCCTATCGATTTTTCAAGTCGATCTACCTGAATCGATTTTCGAGTCGATCTACCTGGAAACTTATTCCCTTCATAATTCTGGATGGTGACAATAAGTAAAATGAATTTAGTGGTCGTCGTTAGCTTAACTTTGAGATCATCTTTTGAGTAAGTTCTCGTGACTTTGCTTTGAGCATATTTACAATGAAAACGTGTCAGTGTAATGGTCTTGTTATATTGCCAGCATTAGTTATAGGTTATCACTTACTGAATCGCGACTGCTGTCATTAACATTGTTTGTGCCAATTTATTTCCAACCCAATGTTTCAGTGACTTAAATTATTTATGCATGTTGTAAGTTATCCTCAGCTGTGGAAAATGCCAAGAGCGTGGATCATAAACGTTGGTACCTTTTGGTATTCAATCTTGCATCATTATTTCATCCTTCTTTGTTTCCCAGGCCGGTATACAATTTAGTATGGCGACATAATGAATATAAACACTATTTTATTGAATCTAATTTGGCTGTTCTTCTATCTACGTTTGCTGACGAGTGTAGAATGTAGCATTTTAAAGGTGTTTCAATGCAGTTGAAACTCTTCTCGTGTAGTGGGCTTAAGTCTGTGGTAGCCGAAACTGCGCGAGGTAGATTTTCTCTAATATTATAATCTTTTTGAAAGATCTGTATAATAGAATTCCTACATAAATTGTTTTGCATACGTAAATTTCTGTAGAAATTCTTTACAACACCTTGAGAAAGTTTCAGTCAAGATATTTATCTTAATTAAATACTATTAGTTATTCGGTCTTGTTGCAGGTATTTCTCGAGCGTGAAAATCTTTAATCTTACATACATTCAGGAAATACGAGTGAGCTTCAGCTTAAGCCTTTTATGTTTCCTTTGTCCACATAGAAATTTTAGAAATAGGTTGCTCATGACGCAATAATTAGTTAACACAATGGAGTAAATGCTTTATTTTTATTCCAGGGAATCAGCGATATGCGCAAAAGACCGACTTTCATTAAACTATTTAGATCACAAAACCAAATCAAACAGGATAAACTTGTACTTTAGTAGTATAAATTTACAATGAAAACGTGTCAGTGTTATGGTCGTGTTATATTGCCAGCATTAGTTATAGGCTATCACTTACTGAATCGCGATTGCTGTCATTAACATTGTTTGTGCCAATTTCTTTTCAACCCAATGTTTCAATGACTAAATATATTTATGCATGTTGTAAGTTAATCCTCAGCTGCTGAAAAAATGCCAATAGCGTGGGTCCTAAACGTTGGTAACTTTTGGTATTTAATCGCATCATATTCATGCTGCTTTGTTTTCCAGGCCGGTTTACAAATCAGTATGACGTCATAATGAATATAAACACTATTTTAATGAATCTAATTTGGCTGTTCGTCTATCTACGTTTGCTGACAAGTGTAGAATGTAGAATTGTATAAAGGTGTTTAAATGCAGTTGAAACTCTTGCCATGTAGTGGGCTTAAGTCTGTGGTAGTCGAAACTGCGCGAGGTCGAATTTCTCCAATATTACAATCTTTTTTGAAAGAAATGTATAATAGAATTCTTACATAAATTGTTTTAAATACGTAAATTTCTGTACAAATTCTTTACAACACGTCGAGAAAGTTTAAGTCAAGATATTTATTTTAAACGTCTGTACTTTTTTGATATTTAAACTTTTGTAATCATTATATCCGTTTTTTATTCACCAGCAGACTGGCCATCGGTTCAGAATGACGTCAAAATGAATAGAAACATTATTTATGGAGTTATAATGTGATTGTTGATAAAAACCGATACAGACAAATACTTGCCGTTTGCTGCTGACCAATGTGGAGTGTAGAATCATATAAAGGTGTTTCAATTCATTGATAGAAGAGGAGATTCTGACTACAAAGATTTAGAGAAGCTTAATGAGAGGCGTAAGATTTTGAGGTGTAATATTTTTTTTTGATATAATGCTTTTGAGGAACCTTCTGATTCACATATCAACGTAATGTTTTGCTAAAATCCAAATTATTGAATTAATATAATCACTCATATTTTTCAAAATGTTGTATTGCGCAAGTTTGAAGTGCTCCCGAAATCTCGTCACAACACGAGAAATTGATTTGATTTTAATTTTCGTATAGTCGGTAATCTTATCGTCATTTAATAAAATTATTTCACCCCAACTTGAGTTCACGCACTCATTTATTCACTCTGGATTACCTGCGGAGGAACCCAAAGTATGATATACTATGGACTATGGTCAATAGGGTAATTCCGGTGAAATGTGAGTTTGGTATTTATTTCAGGCGGGTTTGTAACTATTGAAACGCTAATGAAGTAAGCTTTTAATTCTTTCCTAGCAACAACAGAAATATTTAATTTTCAGAATTGCACGGAATACATGCCCATGACTGCATGGCATGGCTTGAATATGTGCATATCGAATGCCAATTTTAGTATATATGTTTATTTTGGACGTAAAAAATTAAAAACGTTTGATTCGTAGTTCATTGATAAACTTTCCTCTGTTGATAGTGTATCTCATCATATCTGAAGGTATGAAGCTGTCTAAACTATTGCAAACATAAATACTATTTTTAGTCGTTAATGGTTCCAAACTTGATAATATTGTATAATAGTATCAAATATAACGCGTTACTGTACAGAAAGCAATTATGTCGCGATCAAAAAGGAATAGGCTTGTTTGGTTTATAGTTAATTGTAATTTTTGTTTTTCGTCATCAAAAACAAGTTTTGGTTGAATTTGTAAATTGTTAAAAAAAATCACTTTTAGCTTTCAGTACTTTTAGCTGTTCAGTTGCACTTCCGACGCATATAAAAGTTTATATTTAGAATAAAAGTTAAAGACGTATACGCTTTAGTTTTGCTCGTTTCTTAATATCTTGAAAAATGTAGTCCATTGCAAATTTTATTTCCAATGAATTTTTAACTGATTATATCTGGGATTTTCAGTTGGTCGTGAATTGTTTCCGACTCTGCAGTGTTATATAGTAGTATCTCGAACACGAACACGGTTCTGTAAAGAAAACAACCAAGTCTCCTAGCTAGACCATTCAAAAGGGAATGTTTGCTTCTAGTTTATTGCTACTTTATATGTTCTACTACAAGGATTTTGTATATGTATATATATATTTAACAAATGCCAAATAATCTTAAGTAATGAAAAAAAAAGGAATCATTTCAAATGCAAGGAAGTTAGATTCGGTCTATTTCTGTCAATGACCAAACGGTAACTTAATGAATACTGGATATGTGATTTTCAGGTTTTTTTCAGTATTGTTGGCGCGTTGGTCCGTTCTTCAGTTACTTAGTTATTGTTTAGTAATATCTCAGATATAATTTAGTAAATGAAGGGCCGGTACACAATCTCATTGGTGACAAATAGGTTGAAATGAAAAAGTTATCCACGATAGTCATTTAGCATTTACGCTGTATTTTCTTCATACGGTATTTCTAATATTTCAACCTGCTTGCCAGAATTTTTTAGATATTATCGCATATACGACATACACCTTAACTCTAAAGTTTTATTTTCTTTTAACTCTTGTCTCAAGTCGATCTACCTAAAGCTTATTCTTCTAATCTTTAGTGTTAATTCTGGATGATGACAATAAGTAAACAGAAATGGTCACAACCATAAGTTCGCGTTATGCATTGGGAAGTCTAACAATTTTAGCCGTCATATTCGGTTTACTGTGAGTTCTCACCCGTTTACAGTCAGTGAAATACCAGACAAAATATTCTATGCTTCGAGATTTTCTTCCGCGAGATTCAGCTATTTGGAATTCAATACCTCATAGTTATTTTTTAATCAAATTAACACGAACTGATTCAAGCCTCGCGTCAGTTGACATTTACTAACTCGCATTATCATTATTACTCTCTATGCATAGTGTCAGTATCTCTTGGTATATTAGTAGTCGTCGGTATCTTCACTTTGAGTTTTCGTGACTTTGAGCAAATTTCCAATAGAAACGTCTCAGTGTTATGGTCGTTTTATATTATCAGCATTAATTATAGGCTATCACTCACTAAATCGCGATTGCTGTTATTGACGTTCCTCGTGCCAATTTCCTTTCAACTCAATGGTTCAGTGACTGAATTTATTTAGGCATGTTTCAAGTCATGCTCAGCTGTAAAAATGTTAGAAGCGTAGGTGCTATACGTTGGCACTTTTTTGGTATTTAAATTTTCATCATTACTGTATCATTCCTTGTTTACCAGGCCGGTCCAATATGACGTCATAATGAATATAAACACTGTTTTATTGACTTATAATTTGATTGCAGATAAAAACAGATACAGGCGATTCCCTGCTCGTCTATCTATGTATGCTGATCAACGTAGAATGTTGATTTGTATAACGGTATTTCATTTCATTGATGGAAGAGGAGATTCTGACTACAAAGATTTGGAGAAGAATAGTAACATACGTATGTTTTTGAGACGTACGATATTTTCGACAATATCCCTGTTTAAAAAAATCTTCTTATTCACATTAAAAAGTAATCATATATTAACGTTATGTTTTGTTCAAAATCAAATTATTGACTAAAAATACTCATGTCTGTAGCTTTCAGATACTTTTTCAAATGTCCGATTCCAAATTTCCCTGTCCCAGCCAAGTCGATTTATTGCCAACTATGTTCAGCTTTCAAGCAACTCTACTCACAGCGATAAAGTGCCCATCTCGCTTTTTTTGCCTCAAAGTTTTGCCGCAATTGAATCCAACTTTAAATCGGTTTTATTCTTTCATATCACTCAATACGATGGTACTTGAAACAAAATCAGGAACGTCGACATCTCGAACGAAACCTACAGAAAACAATGAACAAACCGAATATAACATGCGGATATCTAAACAAATCTTACAGTAGTGTACAGTGGCAATTAAAATTTACAAATATCAGCACATAACTAAATGCATAAAATTATTTATAGATTACTTTTTTTGAGACTGATTAGATACATACCCCATGTTTTAGATCCCCAGGTGACACTATCCAATAAAGTTTTATCCAAAGTGAACTCAATGTATCTTGCATTACTAAAATCTAAAAGCCGCTGTTATTTACCTGATATACCTATAATACAGCCCCAACCTGCAGTCAAAAACTATATATTAATTACAATCGGGCACTTCGCATTTAACCCCGAATCTGACTTCAATCCAAATTGGTATTTCTAACTGCAAAATTAGTAATACTAAAACCAATACTAAACATCAGAAACGTCTCCGAAGACACTAACAATGAACATTAAGCTAGACAGTGACAATGCATCCGAGCTGATTGCTATCAATTTGCTAATTACAGTGATTAATCGAAAACTGTCGAAATACTGTTATGGGACACTGCGTCAGACGATTTTCGTCCATTGCGTAACGTAATGCGTCATTATATCCAGAACTGAACTGAGTCCTTATAGGAGAGCTGTCGTTCAACATAACTGTGTCTGAATAACAAGTTCAAACTATTACCCTTAACAAACAGGGCAATGAAAATCATTATTTAGCACATAAATATTCGATTCTTTTATACCGAAACCCTGACAATAATGGGAAAATGCAAGATTTGAGACAAACACCCCGCCAAGTTTTAAAAGAACAAATTAGCAAATCATTCGTAAAGTTGGGGTCATAAATGATTTAAAAATTTTACTTTCCGGAGTAATCAGCATTCTCAACCCCAAGCCAAACCCTACTTTTTTTAGTCAGAGCGGTGGCGGGTTCGTTTTTTGGCGCAGGATTTGTAAAAAAGGTCCAAACGTTTCACATAAAAGTTACTCCACGTTGGATTTCTTTGTTTTTCAATCAGGAACTAAGTTTGCCCTGAGTAATACTTTGCTCTGTGGAGGTTAAATAAAAACCAGACAGACTTTACTAGAGACTTCGAGAACATTTGAAACAATCTCTTGTGAAGTACGATTTTGAACTCTGCTCATATTGCGTGTCATCTGCTATGTCTCATTTGCATGTCCGGGTTCGGAGAAATGTTTTACGACAAGCGCTTCTACGACTAAATGTGACCGCAACCGACGACTGTGAGCAGCAATGAGGCAATTCCTGAACCTGCAAAACGCAGTTGAAACTCGTGCCGTGCGGTGTGCTCAAGTCTTCAGCGATTGCAAAAATTCACTTTCAGCTTTCAGTACTTTCATCTGTTCAGTTGACCTACCGACGCACATAAAAGTTTATATCAAGAAACATAGTAAAACACTAATACGCTTTAATAATACTATATTTATACCCGTTTCTTGATATTGAAGAAAAATGTTCGATTCTTATTCTATTGCAAATTTTGTCTCATCAAATTTTTAAAACGAACGCGGTGCTGCGAACGCGATTTTGTACATTTATATATTTTTAACAAATGCCAAATGATCTCAAGTATTGAAAAAATGAATCATTTCAAATGCAAGGGTTTAGAAACGGTATATTTCTGTCAATAACCTAACAGTAACTTACTAAATACTGGATATGTGATTTTCGTATTTTTTTTTCAGTATTTGTTGGCGCGTTGGCCCGTTTTTCAGCTGATAATTTTATTTCATACCCCAAATAAAGTTTAGTAAATGGCAGGTTGGTACATATTTTCATTGGTAAGAAAAGGTTGAAATAAAAAAAGTTATCCTCGATAGTCATTTATCATTTTCGCTGCATTTTCTTCATAATGTATTTCTAATGTTTCGACCTGCTTGCCAGCAATTTTTCGATATTATAGCATAATATACGGCATACGCCGTACTCTAAAGTACTTTAATATATTTTCCTATCACCTCTTGTCTCAAGTCGATCTACCTGAAAACTTATTCCCTTCATCCCTTTATAATTCTATATGGTGACAATATGTAAAATGCAAATTAGTGGTCGTCGTTAGCTTAACTTTGAGATCATCTTTTGAGTAAGTTCTCGTGACTTTGCTTTGAGCAAATTTACAATGAAAACGTGTCAGTGTTATGGACGTGTTATATTGCCAGCATTAGTTGTAGGATAGGCTATCACTTACTAAATCGCGATTGCTCTCATTAACATTGTTTGTGCCAAGTTCTTTTAACCCAACGTTTCAGAGAATAAATTTATTTACGCATGTTGTAAGGTATCCTAAGCTGTGAAAAATGCCAATAGCGTGGGTCCTAAACGTTAGTACCTTTTGGTATTTAATCTTGCATCATTATTTCATCCGTCTTTGTTTCTCAGGCCGGTTTGCGATTTAGTATGACGTCATAATGAATCTAATTTGGCTGTTCGTCTATCTACGTTTGCTGACAAGTATAGAATGTAGAATTGTATAAAGGTGTTTAAATGCAGTTGAAACTCTTGCCGTGTAGTGAGCTTAATTCTGTGGTAGTCGAAACTGCGCGAGGTAGAATTTCTCTAATATTACAATCTTTTCTGAAAGATCTGTATAATAGAATTCCTGCATAAATTGTTTTACATACGTAAATTTCTGTAAAAAATTCTTTACAACACGTCCAGAAAGTTTTTCTCAAGATATTTATTTTAATTAAATATTATGAGTTATTCGGTCTTGTTGCAGGTATTTCTCAGCGTGAGAATCTTCAATCTTACATACATTCAGAAAACGCGAGTGCGCTTCATAAAATCGAGTCAGTTGTATGGTCGTGTTATATTGTTAGAATCAGTTATATCACTTACTAAATCGTGTTTGCTGTCATTGACATTCCAAAGGTCCTAAACGCCTGTACTTTTTTACTATTTAAACTTTTGTAATCATTTTATCCTTTTTTATTCACCAGGCTGGCCATCGGTTCAGTATGACGTCAAAATTAATAGAAACATTATTTATGGAGTTATAATTTGATTGTTGATAAAAACCGATACAGACGAATACTTGCCGTTCGCTGACCAATGTGGTGTGTAGAGTCGTATAAAGGTGTTTCAATTCATTGATAGAAGAGGAGATTCTGACTACAAAGATTTAGAGAAGATTAATGAGAGGCGTGAATTTTTGGGGTGTAATATTTTTTTGGGATATAACGCTGTTGAGGAACCTTCTGATTTACATATCAACGTAATGTTTTGCTCAAAATCAAATTATTGAATAAAATCACTCTATAGCTTGTAGATTCTGATATTTTTCAAAATGCTATGGTCCCGAAATCTCGTCACAAAACGGAAATTGATTTGATTTTAATTTTCGTATAATCGGTAATCTTACCGCCATTTAATAAAATTATTTCACTCCAACTTGAGCTCATGCACTCATTTATCCACTCTGAATTACCTGCGGAGAAACCCAATATATAATATACTATGGACTATGGTCAATAGGATAATTCCGGTGAAATGTGAGTTTGCTATTTATTTCAGGCGGGTTTGTAACTATTGAAACGCTAATGAAGTAAACTTTTAATTCGTTCCTGATATTAATACACCTTCTTTTGTTGATATTGTATCTCATCATATCTGAAGTTATGAAGCGGTCTAACTAAACTATTGCAACCATAAAATACTATTTGAGTCGTTTATGGTTCCAAACTTAATAATATTGTATAGTAGTATCAATTCTAACATGCTACTGTACAGAAAGCAATTATGTCGCAATTAAAAAAATAGGCTTGTTTGATTTATAGTTCATTGCAATTTTTGGTTTTTCGTCATCAAGGACAAGTTTTAGTATTATTCATAATAATTGAATTTGTAAATTGTTAAAAAAATCACTTTTAGCTTTCAGTCCTTTCTGGCTGTTCAGTTGCACTTCCGACGCATATAAAAGCTTATATTCAGAAAAAAAGTTAAAGACGTATACGCTTTAATTTTTCTTGTTTCCCAATATCTTGAAAAATATAGTCCATTGCAAATTTTATTTCCAATAAATATTCAACTGATCATATCTGGGATTTAAAGTTGGTCGTGAATTGTTCCCTAATGTGCAATGTTATATAGTAGTACCTCGAACACGAACACGGTTCTGTAAAGAAAACAACCAAGTCTCCTAGCTAGACCATTCAAAAGGGAATGTTTGCTTCTAGTTCATTGCGACTGTATATGTTATACTACAAAGATTTTGTATATTTATATATATTTAACAAATGCCAAATTATCTTAAATATTGAAAAAAAAATGAATCATCTCAAATGCAAGGAAGTTAGATTCGGTCTGTTTCTGTCAATGACCTAACGGTAACTTAATGAATACTGGCTATGTGATTTTCAGATTTTTTCAGTATTTGTTGGCGCGTTGGTCCGTTCTTCAGTTACTTAGTAAATGTTCAGTAATATCTCAGATATAATTTAGTAAATGAAAGTATGGTACATAATCTCATTGGTCACAAATAGGCTGAAATGAAAAAGTTATCCACGATAGTCATTTAGCATTTTCGCTGTATTTTCTTCATACGGTATTTTTAATGTTTCAACCTGCTTGCCAGAAATTTTTAGATATTATTGCAGTGGCGGCGCGTGGTCATTTTGACAACCGGGGCAAGCTACTGCGGGACCAAGTCACCCCCATCTATGGGGACAGGATGAGCGCTGTAAGTTCTCCCATCATTTTATGAGTATAAAAACCATTCCATCGGTAACAACCAATCGGCAAAAGCGACTATTTTTAACGATAAGAAAGTGTCTTTAAAACCGGTCCAAGTCAAGGGATTAATAAATATAGACATAGTTTATTTTGAAACCTCTTTCAAAAGGAAAGGCAATATTTTATTTAATAGATATATATATGCTGCTAGACTTCTACTGCTTGAACATATATGCAACACGCCGCGGTTTCTTGGAAGCAAAATGCTCAATAACGCGCTGATTAAAGTCATGCATCCCAGAAATAACGTCTCTGTGAATGGATAAAACAGCCAAGGAATTTAATCTATCTTGCTTCATTGTGTTTCTGAGATACGTTTTAATACGCTTCAGCGTGCTGAATGTTCGCTCTGCGTCGGCGGAAGAAATAGGCGTCGTCAAAATGATGTCCAGAAATTTTGCAGACGCCGGGTTCATCAAAGAGAACGCGGCAAGATGTTCAGTGCGAAGACGATCGCCTATTAGATTCACCAGAATGTCACAGCATTCCTTTGCAGACAAAATCAAACGCTGCGTGATTCTTCGTTTAAGATGATATATGAATAACTATAAAACTTAATATTGATAATCTTTGTAACTTTTGTATGGATGTAATCCACATCTAATTTTTTGAAGAATATCTTGAATTGTGCAGTGGGAAAAGATGGACACTCCAGACAAATCCAGTTCTCTTCCAGCACCACCTAAGCGCAAAAGTCCAACCGATCGACAAATGCGTTCGACTGCGTCAATGACCTCCACAATTAAAGTTGACGACATTACCAATCTGGTGTCTGTACTAGAAAGTACAGTTTTAAAGACACTGCGTCTCGAGATCCCTACCATCATCCAGCAACATCTTGAAAGATCTTTCGATGCAAACCAGGCCTTCACCAATACTCCAAATTTGGAGAATTCAATAACATCATTGAAAGAGTCAATAAACGAGATAAGATCTGAAGTAACATCCTTTACTGAAATCAAAAACGAAATCCATGAAATCAAAATAAGCCAGGATTTCGTGTCGAAAAAATTCGACGAGTTGAGATCAAGCCAAATCGAACTCAACAAAACTGCAACCAAAACAAAAAAAAGAGTTATGGAACTTGAAAAGCTTGTGGAAGAGCTAGAGGAAGAAGTAGATATACTAACTGAGAGACAACAGGACCAAGAACGTCGTTCCAGGCTGGCCAATCTGGAATTTCACAATATTCCTTATTCGAACGGGGAAAACTGTGAAAATCTAATCTCCAAGATATGTGAGAAAATTAATGTTCCTCTGAAATCCTTTGACATCTCCAATTGCCATAGAATGTCAAAAAACAATAAGAAAAAGCCATCACCAATAATTGCAAATTTTATAAACAGAAAAACAAGAAACCAAATATTGAAGAATCGACGTAGACTGAAGTCCTTAGACATTTCTACAGTTTTCCCGAGCTTTTCTAGATCCACCAAAATCTTTGTCGTAGAAAATCTAACCGACACGAACAAAGATTTATTTTTCAAAGCTAGAGATCTGAAGCAAGCCTGTGGCTATAAGTTTCTGTGGACTAACAATGGCAAAGTGCTCATTAAAAAGAATTCAGACACTCCTACCATCCCAATCATTACGGAGGAGGATCTACTTTTCATAAAGTAGGTTTCTGTATTTTATATATATTTATATGTACATACATTTTTTTTCTATATAATTCTATTGATAATTATTCCTTGCAATTCCAATACTTATTTCCCATATAAGTAAATGTCGAATAATTATGATAATTTCTCAGACCATTGTGATAATGGTGCCAACAGTCTTATACCCCCAAATCAAATTAGTGGTTGCCACTGCAGCAACCTAGAAGTGGCAGATATAAAAAATATTAGAACTGATTCGGATTTAACTATCATACATTTAAATATTCGCTCAATTCGAAAGAATATTGGGCAGCTATCTGCACTTTTGTCTAATTTCAACCCTTCACCCCATATTATAGCTATAAGTGAGACAAAATTAAACAATAATTCTGACTATATAAGCATTGATGGCTATAGATTTATACACGCACCTTCTGCTTCGAAAGCAGGTGGTGTCGGTGCTTTTATTAGAAATGAAATTAAATTTACTGAGACAACTGAATATCATCTAAATTACTCCAATTGTGAAGAATTATGGCTTGAAATAAACCTTCAAAGCATTAACATTAATTTGAGCATTGGTATTATATATAAACATCCAAAAAACGATATTTCTACTTTTACCAGCATATTTGAGAACTGCCTTACAAAATTAACAAAAAATCCTTTTATGATCGTGGGAGATTTTAACATCAATCTACTTGCAGCAAAATATAGTACCCAAATTGCCAATTATACCAATATGTTTGTTGCTCATAACACCTTTTCTATTATTACAAGACCTACCAGGGTCACACAAAATTCGGCTACACTAATTGATCATTTATATACAAACTTGACTCATATAAAACTGGATTCTCATGTTATATTATCAGATATTACTGATCATTTCCCAATAATGTGTAGTCTTAATGGCATCAAACCATCAATCAGAAATGATGTTATTTTTAGAAGGGATATGTCTACATTTTCGATTGACGCGTTTCGGTCAGACATGCAAGATATAATTAATAATCACTTTGCTGCATTTAACTTGAATGCCCATAATTTTAATAGTCATTTTGAAGAATTTACAAATTCTATTGTTCATCTAATTGACCGCCATGCTCCGTTTAAACAATTGTCACGCCGCGAAAAAAAGATTAAACTTAAACCATGGATATCGAAAGGAATACTCAATAGTATTCGTTCAAGACATAAAATGTATAAATCCCACTTCCTAAAGGGCAATAGTTCCCAGTGCTCATATTTCAAAAAGTATCGCAATTTACTCACACATACCATTGATATGGCGAAACAAATGTATTACCAGAATATGATTGCTGAAAACAAGGGAAACCCCAAGTCTACATGGCGAATTGTGAATCAAATTGCATCCTCTAAAAACAAGTTAAGGCATAATATTGACGAAATCCATCTGGAAAATGGCAGTATTATTAATGATAGTCATTCGATTGCACAAGAATTCAATCAGTACTTTTCCACTGTCGGTTCTAATCTTTCTAAACAATTCCCCAATGACATGGAGGGGTTTAGAAAGTATCTTGACAAGCGGATAAGCAATTCCATATTTCTGAATCCCACAACAGTGAATGAATTAACAGCTGAAATCATAAGTCTTAAGGATGGTAAGGCAGTTGGGGCTGACAACATCCAGAGCCGCTTTCTCAAGTATGTTGCTGATATCATAGCTCCATGTCTGACAAAGTTTTTCAATAGTTCACTTCAGTTGGGAATATTTCCATCTTCATTGAAAATCGCGAGAGTAGTTCCAATCTTCAAGTCTGGCAATACAAAACAAGTGTCAAATTATAGGCCTATTTCGATTCTTTCTGCCTTAGACAAGGTATTCGAACGCTTGATACATAAACGACTAATGAACTTTCTCAGAAAGCACGAGATACTGAATAAATCACAATTTGGTTTTCAAAGCGAACATTCTACTTCACATGCGATTCTTGACACAATATCTCACATCTATGATAAACTAGAAAACAAAGAATATGTCAGTGCAACCTTCTTAGATCTTAAAAAAGCCTTCGATACTGTTAATCACCAAATTTTAATACATAAACTGTGGCACTACGGTATTAGAGGTGTGGCTAACAAACTTTTTGCCGATTACTTGACCAACAGATCACAATATGTACAAATGGGTTTTTATTGTTCACCCACCTTACCTGTGACCCACGGAGTCCCACAGGGATCGTGCTTGGGACCGACTTTATTTTTAATATTCATCAACGATCTTGCTCGAAGCACCACATTATTTTCGAAATTGTTCGCGGACGATACAAATCTGCTTGATAGTGATAAATCCCCTGAAGTACTCCAATCAAGAGCGAACGCTGAAATTGAAAAAGTTGCAAATTGGATAAAACTCAACAAACTAACTCTAAATGTAGATAAATCGAAAACCATGCTGATATCACCAATTAAAAACAAACCCCCACATGATTTAAAAATTGAGATAGGGGGCTCTGTTCTTGAAACTGTCAATTCCTATAAATATCTAGGCATCTTCATTGACAATAAAATGCAATGGGATATTCAAATATCTAACATTGCAATTAAATTATCCAAATCAGTAGGAATGATGTATAGACTTAGACGATATACATCAGCGTCAACATTACGCATGGTCTACCATTCATTGGTTCAGTCACATTTGCAATACGGTATTGTAGCATGGGGATCAGCTAACAGAACCTCATTGCATCGAGTAGAAATTATGCAAAATAGGGCTATCCGTGCTATTACTAACGCTGGATATAGGTCGAAACTAGACCCCCACTATTATAACATGAAAATAGTCAAAATGGCAGATATATATAAAATTGAGATACTGAAAATCATGCACCAGCATCACAATAATAAATTGCCTGTTGCATTCACTAAATATTTTGTTAAGCAAAGCAGTATCCACTCATATGCAACTCGATCTTCTGTCAATAGCTCATATTATGTTTCTCGTTACTCTTCAAGTCATACACAAAACAGTATCAAATGCATCGGTGTGAAACTATGGAACACACTGCCTAATTCAATTCGTTCCAAAAATTATAACTTATTTAAACAAATGTTGAAAAATCTTCACCTTGATGCTTATATATGTCAGTAATTTCCCAGTTGTTATACCATTTAGGCTTGTTGTCAGGTTTACCCCTTTCTTCGAAATCATAAAATATATATGTCAGTATGTTGTCTTCATGTGCTCTATGTAATAATTCAACAAAGCTGCAATGCTACTAGCATTGCCAATACTGCAGTATCAATTCTCATATCTATTGATGTATAATCTTAAATTTTATGAACCTCTGAAAGCACTAAATCAATATTAATGATAACACTTTACACTTACAGACTTGGGCATGTGGCTCTGCCATTACATGAATGCATAAGTCTGTACAGCTGTAAGTACGTTAATCTAAAGGCATATTATTGAATATTTTTAATATTATTATCTTATCATACATGCCTTTTCATCTCACATTATGTAGTGTTGCTTACTTCCTCTGTCGATATAATCATTTCACTTGTCAAATTTAAATATTATTGATGTCTCTTTAACTCATATAACGAATTCTCCCCTTTTCTGGTTGCTAACTAGTAACTACGCTATACGGCGTCATGTTAGTCATGAAATTTCTTTGTTGTTTTTACGCTCACCCGAGCATGACATTATAAAGCAAAACTGACTTAATCAGTCACTCTTTCCCGATTGACTTGCATCATATTTACTTTTTATTTCCTGAATTAAATTCGCTCAGCAAGTCATGATGATATCATCCAATTCATATTTTTTTTTTACATTTATTTAACGTCATCTGTTCATCAATAAATCAACACGGTGTCGTTGACACGATGACTTTTGCAGTCTTTCGCGGCTCCGCGTCAATTGCGATATATTGTATGCATGTATACTTCAGTCTTCAATTGATTTTTGTATTATCATTATAATTGTTTAATTGCGTACAATATTTCATGCACGACGAAATAAAACTTCTGAGTTCTGAGTTCGTTGTTTGCCCGCGGCGTAAAGAAGCACTCCATGTGTCGTCGTATTTTATTGTTTCCCGGATACGAGTTACATCATCGCATAAGTCTGAAATACACGACTGCACAGACGCTCCATCCCTTAGCCTTGACTGCAATGCGCCGTATAATACATCCACGTGATAGAATATTGTGGAGAAAAAAGCGAGAAAAAATGAAAACTCACCATCTTCTAGCAGACGCTTTAGACCTGCCGCCTCCCTCACAGAGCGTTCGTCCCAAACCGGAGAGCTCTGAATGCCATTGAAACACTCAATGAGCTCAGACCTAATTTTGGACACGCCCTGCACCACGCGTGATTGGAAGTTCCAACGTGTTGGTGCACAAGCTGGGAGACGGCGGCTACATATCTGGCGAAGGAGGTCAGAGCGCTTCGGCGAAACGGAAAAAAATGAAGAAAACCCCGAAACATTTGCAAAAAATATACGGACGAGAGGGGTATCAAGACACATATTTTAATAACGAGGTTAAATTGGTGTGCATAACAATGTAAAAAATGCGCATGAGGAAAATCTTCTTTTATATAAACTTGAACACCATGTTTCGACCCACTCATGACTGCCGCGCCGTCATAAGTTTGAGCTATCAATTTTGACTTCGCATTGTAAGGCTGTAACACTTCTTTCAGTACAGCCGATATCCCACAAGCCGTGCGATCAACGATTGGTACAAAGCTGTGGAATCTCTCGCTAGGTTTACCATCTTTCACAAACCGAAAAATCACAGCTAGTTGGGAAACGCACGTGATGTCAGTTGTCTCGTCAGACTGAATCGAAAGGAACTGGCAATTCTCAATTTCCAGAGCCAAATGTTGTAAATAAATTTTATACATTGAGTCGAGCAAATCATTTTGGATATCCTTAGATGTCCCTTTCGAAACAGTTGCGGCATCAAGATGATCTCTCAATACTGTATCTAGGGATGCGGTGTATTCCACCATATCCAAAAATATCCCTCTATTAGAAGAGCCAGCCCGTTCATCGTGCCCACGGAGGGACAGCTCGTGACAACCAATGAACTTCAAAACATCTATCAATCGACCGAGAACATGGCGGTTTTTCTCGACGTTTTGGTTGTGCCGACGAATAGAAACCGCGCGTCCTTCATCCAACTGTGCTGCAATATTACCATTTCCGAATCTTCGGTATTTTACTGCATTGTCCAGATGCTCCATAGAAGATTGATGATCCCTGGCACGCTCGGAAAGATGTTTAAGATCTCTAAAACCAAATTTACACCAACGTGAGTCACGGGCGGTAGCAAAAAGTAGGCAATAAAAACAAAAAAGTGCATTTTTGTCCTCGCTGTAACACAACCATTCGTGTTTTTATACCAAGTTTCTGCGCAGAATGTACGCCGACGCTTTCCTCCGTCATGGGATAATTCCAGTGAACAATTTTTTGGTTGATAAGGCCCAAGACGTTGTACCTCTAATTTTTGTTCCAGGGGCAGCTGCGAAAACGGAGTGCGAAGTAGTGCATCAACCTTATTCATTATGAGGTCTAAAGCTAAGAAATGCGAAGCCGGAAAGAGGTGAGGAGCTCAAAAGGAATGTGGAAAATCGAAAGCAAATGGACTAAAGGTCTCTAACTGATTCAAATAGCGAAACAACTGACAAAAACGAAGGCGAGGAAACTATCAACTCTTCAAGCAACCAACGAACGAAAAGGAATGCGTGAATATGTCAACACGTTGTTGTAAGAAACGTCGGCATTGTGTCGTCATAATTTCGGGGCTAGCCCCGATCGGCCCCGATGATTTAGTAAAAGAAACAGAAAACAAACGAGACAAACGCGGCGAGTGGAAGATAAAAGAGAGAATACGATATACAATGAGCAACCGGGGCAAAATCGGCGTCGCCCCGTCGACGTTCGGCGAAGGCTTTGCGAGCGAAAAATGAATCATGTCGGGAGAATATGGCTAGTGTAGACAGTCTGTGCAACCGATATTGAGGTATTTTTCGAATATTTTTTATTATACCGAAAAAACAATGCCCCGGTTGGCCCTATTGACGCGCCGCCACTGTATTATTGCATATACGACATACACCTTTACTCTGAACTAAAGTTTTTATTTTTTATTTTCCTACAACTCTTGTTTCAAGTCGACTTACCTGAAAGCTTATTCTTCTTATCTTCAGTGTTAATTCTGGATGGTGACAATAAGTAAACAGAAATGGTCACAACCATAGATTCGCGTTATGCATTGGGAAGTCTAACAATTTTTATCGTCAAGTTCGGTTTACTGTGAATTCTCACCCGTTTACAGTCAGTGGAATACCAGACAAAATATTCTATGCTTCGAGATTTTCTTCCACGAGATTCAGCTATTTGGAACTCAATACCTCATAGTTATTTCTCAATCAAATCAACAGGAACTGCGTCAGTTGATATTCACTAACGCGCATTCCCTTTATTCTATATATATACAGAGTGTCAGTATCTATTGGTATATTAGTAGTCGTCGGTAGCTTCACTTTGAGTTTTCGTGACTTTGAGCAACTTTCCAATTGAAACGTCTCAGTGTTGTGGTCGTTTTATATTATCAGCATTAATTATAGGCTATCACTTACTAAATCGCGATTGCTGTTATTGACATTCATTGTGCCAATTTCCTTTCAACCCAATGGTTCAGTGACTTAATTTATTTACGCATGTCTCAAGTCACCCTCAGCTGTGAAAAATGTCAAAAGCGTATACGTGCTATACGTTGGTACTTTTTTGGTATTTAAATTTTCATCCTTACTGTACCATTCCTTGTTTACCAAGCCGATCCAATATGACGTCATAATGAACATAAACATTGTTTTAAAGACTTATAATTTGATTGCAAATAAAAACTGATACAGGCGATTTCCTGCTCGTCTAAATATGTATGCTGACCAACGTAGAATGTAGATTTGTAAAACGGTGTTTCAATTCATTGATGGAAGAGGAGATTCTGACTACAAAGATTTGGAGAAGAATAATGACATACGTAAGTTTTTGAGACATACGATATTTTCGACAATAACCCTGTTTAAAGAATCTTCTTATTCACATTAAAAAGCAATCATATATGAACGTTATGTTTTGTTCAAAATCAAATTATTGACTAAAAATACTCATGTCTGTATCTTTCAGATATTGGTATTTTTCCAAATGCATTACTTTCCAATTTGAAGTAGTCCCGAAATCTAGTCACAACATAAGAATTATTTTTGATTTTATTTTCCGTATAGTCAGTAATCTCTCGTCATTTTATGAAATTATATTATACTCCGTAATGAGCTTACTCACTCATTCATCCACACTTGATTACATCGCGAGCGAACACGGTTGTTCTTGTTTTGATAACATTTAAGAATGAGTTAATTCTTCGTACTCGGGCATGCAAATGAGAAATAGCAGATGACACGCAATAAGAGCAGAGTTTAAAATCGTACTCCTCAAGACATTGTTCCAAATGTTCTCGGAGTCTCTAGTAAAGTCTGTCTGGTTTCTAATTAACCTCCACAGAGCAAAGTATTCGTCAGGGCAAACTTAGTCCCTGATTCAAATACAAAGAAACTCCACATTGATTAACTTTTATGTGAAACGTTTGGATCTTTTTTACAAATCCTGCGTCAAAAAACAACCCCGCCACCGCTCTAATTAAAAAAAGTAAATATCCAGTTAGGGTTTGGCTTGGGGTTAGAAATGCTGATTATTCCGGGAATTAAAATTTTTAAATCATTTATAACCCTAACTTGATGACTGATTTGCTAATTTGTTCTTTTAAAACTTGGCGGGCTTTTTTTTTTCTAATCTCGCATTTTCCCATTATTGTCAGGGTCTCGGTATAAAAGATTCAAATAATTATGTGCTAACTGATGACTTTCATTGCACTAGTTCGTTAAGTGTAATAATTTGAACTTGATATTTAGACACAGTTATGTTGAACGACAGCTCTCCTATAAGGACTCAGTTTAGTTCCGAATCTGATTACGCATGACGTTACGTAGTCGACTAAAATCATCTGACGCAGTGTACCATAACAGTATTTCGGCAGTGTTTCGATTAATCACTGTAATTAGCAAATTGATAGCAAGCAGCTCGAATGCATTGTCACTGTCTAGCTTAATGTTCATTGTTAGCTAGAGTCTTCGGAGACGTTTATGATGTTGAGTATTGGTTTTAGTATTCTCAATTTTGCGGTTAGGAATACATATTTGGATTAAAGTTAGAATCGGGGTTGAATGCGAGATGCCCGATTGTAATTAAAATATAATTTTTGACTGCAGGTTAGGGCTGTATTATAGTTATACTAGGTAAATAACAGCTGCTTTTATATTTTAGACATGCAAGTTACATTGAGTTCACTTTGGATTAAACTTTATTGGATAGTGTCACCTGGGGATCTAAAACATGTGGTATGTATCTAATCAGTCTCAAATAAAGTAATGTATATATAATTTTATGGATTTAGTTACCTGCTGATATTTGTAAATTTTAATTGCCACTGTACACCACTGTAAGATTTGTTTAGATATCCGCATGTTATAATCAGTTTGTTCATTGTTTTCTGTAGTTTACGTTAGAGATGTCGATGTTCCTGATTTTGTTTCAAGTACCATCGTATTAATTGTTATGAAAGAATTAAACCGATTTCAAATTGGATTCCATTGCGGCAAAACTTTGAGGCACAGAAAACGAGATGGGCACTTTATCGCTGTGAGTCGAGTTGCTTGAAAACTGAATATAGTTGACAATAAATCGATTTGGCTGGGACAGGGCATGGGGCACGTTGACAATGGTCTCCATGCACGTAAGCCAGGAAAGTAGAAGATTAATTTACGACAGGCGCATCTACGACTAAACGTGACCGCAACCGACGACTGTGAGCAGCAATGAGGCAATTCCTGAACCTGCAAAACGCAGTTAAAACTCGTGCCGTGCGGTGTGCTCAAGGCTTCAGCGATTGCAAACAATCACTTTCAGCTTTCAGTACTTTCATCTGTTCAGTTGACCTATCGACGCACATAAAAGTTTATATCAAGAAACATAGTAAAACAATAATGCGCTTTAATATTGCGATAATTAAACTTGTTTCTTGATATTGAAGAAAAATGTTCGACTCTTATTTCATTTCAAATTTTGTTTCATCAATTTTTTAACACGAACGGGGTGCTGCCAACGCGATTTTGTACATTTATATAATTTTATCCAATGCCAAATCATCTCAAGTATTGAAAAAATGAATCATTTCAAATGCAAGAAGTTTAGAAACGGTTTATTTCTGTCAATAAGCTATGCTAACAGTAACTTATTAAATACTGGCTATGTGATTTTTTTCATGCAGTATTTGTTGGCGCGTTGGCCCGTTTTTCAGCTATCAATTTTAAGTCATATCTCAGATAAAGTTTGGGTAATGAAGGGTCGGTATATATTCTCATTGGTAGAGAAAAAATAGGTTGAAATAAAAAAAAATATCCTCGATAGTCATTTAGTATTTTCGCTGCATTTTCTTCATACAATATTTCTAATGTTTTGACCTGCTTGCCAGCAATTATTCGATATTATTGTATATACGGCATACGCCTCAACTCTAAAGTGCTTTGATATATTTTCCTATCAACTCTTGTCATTAGTCGATCTACCTGAAAACCTATTCCCTTTATCCCTTTAATATTCTTGATGGTGGCAATAAGTAAAATGAAATTAGTGGTCGTCGTTAGCTTAACTTTGAGATCATCTTTTGAGTAAGTTCTCGTGACTTTGCTTTGAGCAAATTTACAATGAAAACGTGTCAGTGTTGTTGTCGTGTTATATTGCCAGCATTAGTTATAGGCTATCACTTACTAAATCGTGATTGCTGTTCGTCTATCTACGTTTGCTGAAGTGTAGAATGTAGAATTGTGTTGAGGTGTTTAAATGCAGTTGAAACTCTTGCCGTGTAGTGAGCTTAACTCTTTGAACTCTGGCGTCTCTGAGCGAAGTTACTCGCTCATCCTGAAGGTTCGCGGCGCCGTATTGGTAGAACAATAAAATAAGTCTAAATACTGGCTATTTGGCACGCTTATAACTTTTTACAAATTATAGGTAGCACGTTGTGTGACATTTCAATCGAAAGGAAATTTTATCGTGCATTCAGAATGTATTTTCCATTTCGAAATACATTTTGTCAAAATTGATAAAATTGACTCTAATCTAACAGTGATTTTTCTGCATGTATGTGAGTTTTGGCTTGAAATTTTGTTATTTTGGTTCAAATTATACGGCAAATAATGGATGTTCATAAAGAGTTTTTTATAAGCTTTTTGTTGATATTCGAATTACTATTGTGGCTGCCATATAACCAATTTTATATTTTATTGTGTATCATTGTGTCGGATGAACAACTTCGATAAGCGACCATGACGCACCGATTACGCAGCTACGCAAAAGCCGATCACGTGACTACCGTCATGAAGATGTTGATAAGTACGTTCGAAAAGTATTGCGCGGCAAAATGCGCAAGATAACTTTCACGGCGACGTTCTCAGCGGGGCATCGGTCGCCGAGTTTCGATATGATATTAACCCTGTATGGATTGAAGTACCGACGTCGAGTAATGCGTGCAGTAATAGCGAAGTGAAGGGAAGTTAATATCGTCATATAAAATTTCACGTGGAAAATGTTTTATTCGCCCATCAGTATTTGTTCAAATATCAACCAAAATAAGTACTTGCCTGCTCTGCAGATCAAAATATCTGATTGTACGAATGTTAGGCGAAGCAAGTGGATGGATCAATATCTGAGAGAACTAATATTGCAGAAAGAGCAACTCTTATTCCAACAAGATCATATGCGTCGCCAGAACCTACCGCAAAACGCCAGTTCTAATAATAGATGCGTCGTATGCAGCAGCAAAATTTACATTATTGCCAAAAAACCAATCCAGCTGCTAAAGACAAAGCGTTGCTGAAACGATGCGAGACAGTATATAAGTACAAATACTGTAATGAGTACCTATGTATAGGTAACGGGTCCAACAACCATTGGTATAACTGGCACAACAAAGTGCAATATTGGATTTAGAATGTGTCTTTTATCTGCATAATATTTTCATGTTCTTCTTTGTTCCGGGCACAACAAAGTGCAATATTCAATTTAAAAATTTTTGCAAGCAGTATTTTATGTACATACATTTTTCATGGTCTTTATTGTTCCGTTATTTGCTAATAAAATCACAATCTTGTTCATATTGCGTATACGTAACCACAACTTAATGGGGCTTGAGCGGGCATGCGTAGCATCGGGTTAATTAATTACTTCCTGCGGACATTTAAATAATAACATTTCGACGTAACGTTATTGCGGATATCGTCACGTTTAGTTGCATTTGCGTAATATACGTAAAGTTGTGCGTGACGAGACGTTGCCTCTCTTCAATGAGAACATCATTTTGGCGCAGCGTCGCTGTTAAATTTACAGATAACCTAATATATTTGGCCATAAAATTTCAACGGCTCATCGTAAAATCGTTTTGGATACGTATATAAAAAGCTATTCAAATTCTCCACATATATTGCCGATTGAATATGTGGCTATTTAGGCAAGAAGTCGAAATTCTTTATATTAAATATTTGTTATCATACAATAATTTCATACGCACTTTCAAATTGCCAATTTTACTGAAACATCGTATATTAGAGCACCAATATTTACAATATAATTAGTCCCAATAACAAGCTTTCATGAAATATAAAATTATTTAAATACTCATTGTGGTTCTTGAGATACGACATCATAAAGTTGATTCCTTCCGACACGAAAAACAAGCCGGTAAACCGGCTTGCCGGGGCACAGAGCGTACTCAGACAAGCCGGTAAACCGGCTTGCCGGGTTCAAGCGGGTAATCGGTAAGTATGTTGATAGGTATTTGTCTGTCTGTTTGTCTGTCTGTCTGTTAGATGCACGCGATATCTCACGAAAGCGAGATTTAATATGCTCCAGATTTTGCATGTGCATTCATCATATGTCGTACCAGAAGCCTACCGATTTTAGATGAATTATGTCGTATAATTAGCGAGTTATTAAATATTTAGTGATGGGACACAAGGTGTCACTATGGAGTAAGAGCGCTGTTTTGGGGATCCCCTAACTTTCGATCGATAAGTCTTCGGTCTCTAACCGATATTCTCGTTTGCCAAGTTAGACCGTAACAGCAAGCGGATTTTCAAGAGTCTTGAGGGTCTAAAAATCGTTTCAAGCTACGAAAAATTGCAATGTATGATGAATCATGTGGCGTACTTACCACTTCTTTAAATCCTTTTGCATTGAACGGTATCAGAATAAAACTTTGGTTAGAAGATTTGTATGTGACGACACCGTGAACTACGGTTAGAACTTCGTCGCACACATTGCCTGAGTATCCAGTTTTACATACGCAGGATGTACAGGTCCCATCAGGTGCCGAACTTGAACAATTGCCACCGTTTTTACATTGCAAACCTTTGAAAAATAAACCAAACCTGTAATTTTTAAAATAACAGAAAAAGAAATATTTCGCACACAACAAACTTTCAAAACCCAGACACCAAAGCTCATCGTATACTTAAGCTGTTTTTTGTTCTTGGTCAAATTAAGAAACTATCCTATTCAAATCTACGCACTCGCAATTGACAAAGTAACGTCCATCTTCCACGTCCGAGTGCGACATATATTGATTTTGATTTTAAAATACCTATTCCTAAATCTGGTTGATTGCGGAACTGGGGTTACCATTCTGCAATCAGATTACAATTTGAAACAGGAGTAGTTCCCACACAGAATGGCAGAGAACATATTTTGACGCACTATCGCTTTTCTAATTTAGGTATTCGGTCTACCAATTCGACTGATACATGATACAGTTCAATTGTAAATCGATTCTTTCTCTCGAGAACAAATTGTTGACTAAGTCTATGATTTACTGCAGCTTATTTTGGCAGCGTTTTGAACTTACACTATTGTAAAAACGGTCTAAATGTTAATCATTTATTGCAAAACAGGGGGATTTTATTTAAATATTACATTAATTCATAGCATTAAATTTGAAAACATACCTTCACTGCGGCATTCCGATAGTAGAACAAATGCTGTAAAAACGAGAAGAAGGGAAATTTAAATATTTTCAACTTTAGCATTGTGACGCGATTTGTGATATTTCAAGAAAGTAAAAAATCCGTATCAAAAATTTCACTGGTTTCTGGAGAGTCTAGTCCTCCTCGTGTACGGTGTTTTTTCATAAAACTTCATGGATTGTGAACATGATTAAGTTGCAGTGTGGTATGTTGGCTCAGTCTATCTCACTGCTTCTTAACCGGGTGAACCGTTTTTATATGGAAAATGGAATCTGGCAAGTACTCGAAATTCTTAATTCTCCGAACTCCTAAGTTCAGACTTAAACTAATGATAAGAAAGTCAATGTTTTCTACACAAACTCAAAGAGCATTAAGTTTGCTAAAGGTTCTCAACAATCTTTTAAAAACGACTTGCGTGTAATAAAGTTTTGAAAAGATCGGGAAACACTGTTGTACTGTTGTGTCATTTTTGACCCGCACGATATAGACACGTCCGAACTGGTTAATGATGCGCTAAGAAAGATTCACACAAGAGTGCCTGAAAGTGCACGTAATTACAACTTCGCCCTTTCACAATTGGTAAAGCTAATAAGCATGGTTAATGTAGAATATTATAATAGACTTACTATTAGGTGATTTACACTTTCATCATAATTATTATTTAGCAGCAGGCAACATTGTTTTTTGGTATATATGTAGGTCGGAAATGTGCGCTATTGGTATAACTGTTTTGAATATTTTAAAAATTAATATTGCCATGCTTACTCTGGGCATTTATACTCAATGAACGTCTTGTATGGCATAAGATCATCAGAGTTTGAAATCGACACAGGTGCTCCATTATGATAATATACACTCCTTGTTGCACTTGTAGGCCACTCTGGTGCATCGCTTAGTTTGCAAAAATACCTAAAAGTTTTATATATATAAGGGACTGCATAAAATGATAAAACCAAAAAGGACACAAAGCTTCTACTTTGCTCATTTACCACAAAAATGATTTTACTGGTTTAGCAAGGATGAAATCGATATAAGTACCATAAACGCATCAATCAAAGCTGAGGCTTACCTACAGGTCAATGAGTGCCATTTCCGATGAAACCGCTTTTGCAATTGCATCCATATCCTGGTATTGTGTTGAAGCATTCTGCATTAACGTCGCACGTATATAACCCAGACGCACATTCATCAATATCTAAATAAATAAATAAATCGCTTTAAATTTGAGTCTTTAAATTCAGAAATATATTGTTTAGGAAGTAAAGTACAACGCTGAGATGACATGAATTACAGTATCTTGTGGCCATGTACTGGTAACTGTATCAGGATTATTAAAAGCATAATTTGTGATTTGCAAAGGCCATATAAGTTACGTGCCTATACCACATGGAGTAGTAGACACCAATAATATAAGTTATTTACTTTCTCGGCTGTAACTCATAATAGCAAATAATTAAAGATTGTATTCTGGGCTGAGCTTAATATATGTACTATTTGAAAAGCTATAAAAGTCGGTTCACCTGCAGTTGCCGAGATAACAGTTATCGATGAAGTAAAATTGGTGAAGAATGCGCGAATTGAACTGTTTTGCTTGAGGACATTGTTCAGATCAGAGATGAACAAAGATTGGTTAAAATTTGGCCAATCAGAAGGACGGTTCATATAAACAGTGTAGCCGGCGACAAACGTGGTACTTTCATCAATAGAACGGTTGGATGATACGGAATCTTGGTAAATTACAATGGAAGATTGAAACTGTAAAATTGCCATACACCAAAGTTACAAAACAATATCAGAAAGGCAACTTAACTGGACTTATCCCCGTATTATTTACCCCGATTGTCCCGTGTTACTTGCAAACATGAGAAATGGGAATAAGAGCATGCTGGGGCAGGGGCGTAGCCAGGAATGTTCAAATGGGGCTGGGTTTATGTATTTTATTACTTATCGATTTTAATCAGTAAGTATGTTGATAGGTATTTGTCTGTCTGTTTGTCTGTCTGTCTGTTAGATGCACGCGATATATCACGAAAGCGAGATTTAATATGCTCCAGATTTTTCATGTGCATTCATCATATGTCGTACCAGAAGCCTACCGATTTTAGATGAATTATGTCGTATAATTAGCGAGTTATTAATTAATTAGTGATGGGACACAAGGTGTCACTATGGAGTAAGAGCGCTGTTTGGGGTTCCCCTAACTTTCGATCGATAAGTCTTCGGTCTCTAACCGATATTCTCGTTTACCAAGTTAGACCGTAACAGCAAGCGGATTTTCAAGAGTCTTGAGGATCTAAAAATCGTTTCAAGCTATGAAAAATTGCAATGTATGATGAATCATGTGGTGTACTTACCACTTCTTCAAATCCTTTTGCATTGAACGGTATCAGAATAAAACTTCGGTTAGAGGATTTGTATGTGACAACACCGTGAACTACGGTTAGAACTTCGTCGCACACATTGCCTGAGTATCCAGTTTTACATACGCACGATGTACAGGTCCCATCAGGTGCCGAACTTGAACAATTGCCACCGTTTTTACATTGCAAACCTTTGAAAAATAAACCAAACCTGGAATTTTTAAAAGAACAGAAAAAGAAATATTTTGCACGCAACAAACTTTCAAAACCCAGACACCAAAGCTCATCGTATACTTACGCTGTTTTTTGTTCTTTGCCAAATTAAGAAACTATCCTATTCAAAGCTACGCACTTGCAAATGACAAAGTAACGTCCAACTTCCACGTCCGACTGATACACGGTACAGTTCAGATGTAAAACGATTCTTTCTTTCGAGAACAAATTGTTGACTAAGGATATGATTTACTGCATCTTTACTTTGAACTAAAGTTTTTTTTTTATTTTCCTACAACTCTTGTCTCAAGTCGACTTACCTGAAAGCTTATTCTTCTTATCTTCAGTGTTAATTCTGGATGGTGACAATAAGTAAACAGATATGGTCACAACCACACAGAACCCACACAGAATGGCAGAGAACATATTTTGACGCACTATCGCTTTTCTAATTTAGTTTTTCGGTCTACCAATTCGACTGATACACGGTACAGTTCAGATGTAAAGCGATTTTTTCTCTCGAGAACAAATTGTTGACTAAGTCTATGATTTTCTGCAGCTTTACTCTGAACTAAAGTTTTTTTTTATTTTCCTACAACTCTTGTCTCAAGTCGACTTACCTGAAAGCTTATTCTTCTTATCTTCAGTGTTAATTCTGGATGGTGACAATAAGTAAACAGAACCATAGATTCGCGTTATGCATTGGGAAGTCTAACAATTTTTATCGTCAAGTTCGGTTTACTGTGAATTCTCACCCGTTTACAGTCAGTGGAATACCAGACAAAATATTCTATGCTAGGAACTGCGTCAGTTGATATTTACTAACGCGCATTACCATTATTCTATATATATACAGAGTGTCAGTATCTATTGGTATATTAGTAGTCGTCGGTAGCTTCACTTTGAGTTTTCGTGACTTTGAGCAACTTTCCGATTGAAACGTCTCAGTGTTGTGGTTGTTTTATATTATCAGCATTAATTATAGGCTATCACTTACTAAATCGCGATTGCTGTTATTGACATTCATTGTGCCAATTTCCTTTCAACCCAATGGTTCAGTGACTTAATTTATTTACGCATGTCTCAAGTCACCCTCAGATGTGAAAAATGTCTAAAGCGTATACGTGCTGTACGTTGGTACTTTTTTGGTATTTAAATTTTCATCCTTACTGTACCATTCCTTGTTTACCAAGCCGATCCAATATGACGTCATAATGAACATAAACATTGTTTTAAAGACTTATAATTTGATTGCAGATAAAAACCGATACAGGCGATTTCCTGCTCGTCTAAATATGTATGCTGACCAACGTAGAATGTAGATTTGTAAAACGGTGTTTCAATTCATTGATGGAAGAGGAGATTCTGACTACAAAGATTTGGAGAAGAATAATGACATACGTAAGTTTTTGAGACGTACGATATTTTCGACAATAACCCTGTTTAAAGAATCTTCTTATTCACATTAAAAAGCAATCATATATGAACGTTATGTTTTGTTCAAAATCAAATTATTGACTAAAAATACTCATGTCTGTATCTTTCAGATATTGGTATTTTTCTAAATGCATTACTTTCCAATTTGAAGTAGTCCCGAAATCTAGTCACAACATAAGAATTATTTTTGATTTTATTTTCCGTATAGTCAGTAATCTCTCGTCATTTTATGAAATTATATTATACTCCGTAATGAGCTTACTCACTCATTCATCCACACTTGATTACATCGCGAGCGAACACGGTTCTTCTTGTTTTGATAACATTTAAGAATGAGTTAATTCTCCGAACCCGGACATGCAAATGAGAAATAGCAGATGACAGGCAATAAGAGCAGAGTTTAAAATCGTACTCCTCAAGACATTGTTCCAAATGTTCTCGGAGTCTCTAGTAAAGTCTGTCTGGTTTTTAATTAACCTCCACAGAGCAAAGTATTCGTCAGGGCAAACTTAGTCCCTGATTCAAAAACAAAGAAACTCCACATTGATTAACTTTTGTGTGAAACGTTTGGATCTTTTTTACAAATCCTGCGTCAAAAAAACAACCCCGCCACCGCTCTAATTAAAAAAAGTAAATATCCAGTTAGGGTTTGGTTGGGGTTAGAAATGCTGATTATTCCGGGAATTAAAATTTTTAAATCATTTATAACCCTAACTTGATGACTGATTTGCTAATTTGTTCTTTTAAAACTTGGCGGGCTTTTTTTTTTCTAATCTCGCATTTTCCCATTATTGTCAGGGTCTCGGTATAAAAGATTCAAATAATTATGTGCTAACTGATGACTTTCATTGCACTAGTTCGTTAAGTGTAATAACTTGAACTTGATATTTAGACACAGTTATGTTGAACGACAGCTCTCCTATAAGGACTCAGTTCAGTTCCGAATCTGATGACGCATGACGTTACGTAGCCGACTAAAATCATCTGACGCAGTGTACCATAACAGTATTTCGGCAGTGTTTCGATTAATCACTGTAATTAGCAAATTGATAGCAAGCAGCTCGAATGCATTGTCACTGTCTAGCTTAATGTTCATTGTTAGCTAGAGTCTTCGGAGACGTTTATGATGTTGAGTATTGGTTTTAGTATTCTCAATTTTGCGGTTAGGAATACCTATTTGGATTAAAGTTAGAATCGGGATTGAATGCAAGATGCCCGATTGTAATTAAAATATAATTTTTGACTGCAGGTTAGGGCTGTATTATAGTTATACTAGGTAAATAACAGCTGCTTTTATATTTTAGACATGCAAGTTACATTGAGTTCACTTTGGATTAAACTTTATTGGATAGTGTCACCTGGGGATCTAAAACATGTGGTATGTATCTAATCAGTCTCAAATAAAGTAATGTATATATAATTTTATGGATTTAGTTACCTGCTGATATTTGTAAATTTTAATTGCCACTGTACACCACTGTAAGATTTGTTTAGATATCCGCATGTTATATTCAGTTTGTTCATTGTTTTCTGTAGTTTACGTTAGAGATGTCGATGTTCCTGATTTTGTTTCAAGTACCATCGTATTAATTGTTATGAAAGAATTAAACCGATTTTAACTTGGATTCCATTGCGGCAAAACTTTGAGGCACCGAAAACGAGATGGGCACTTTATCGCTGTGAGTCGAGTTGCTTGAAAACTGAATATAGTTGACAATAAATCGATTTGGCTGGGACAGGGCATGGGGCACGTTGACAATGGTCTCCATGCACGTAAGCCAGGAAAGTAGAAGATTAATTTACGACAGGCGCATCTACGACTAAACGTGACCGCAACCGACGACTGTGAGCAGCAATGAGGCAATTCCTGAACCTGCAAAACCTGCATTTTAACTCATATCTCAGATAAAGTTTGGGTAATGAAGGGTCGGTACATATTCTCATTGGTAGAGAAAAAATAGGTTGAAATAAAAAAAAATTATCCTCGATAGTCATTTAGTATTTTCGCTGCATTTTCTTCATACAATATTTCTAATGTTTCGACCTGCTTGCCAGCAATTATTCGATATTATCGTATATACGGCATACGCCTCAACTCTAAAGTGCTTTTATATATTTTCCTATCAACTCTTGTCATAAGTCGATCTACCTGAAAACCTATTCCCTTTATCCCTTTAATATTCCTGATGGTGACAATAAGTAAAATGAAATTAGTGGTCGTCGTTAGCTTAACTTTGAGATCATCTTTTGAGTAAGTTCTCGTGACTTTGCTTTGAGCAAATTTACAATGAAAACGTGTCAGTGTTGTTGTCGTGCTATATTGCCAGCATTAGTTATAGGCTATCACTTACTAAATCGTGATTGCTGTTCGTCTATCTACTTTTGCTGAAGTGTAGAATGTAGAATTGTGTTGAGGTGTTTAAATGCAGTTGAAACTCTTGCCGTGTAATGAGCTTAACTCTTTGAACTCTGGCGTCTCTGAGCGAAGTTACTCGCTCATCCTGAAGGTTAACTTTTTACCAATTATAGGTAGCACGTTGTGTGACATTTCAATCGAAAGGAAATTTTATCGTGCATTCAGAATGTATTTTCCATTTCGAAATACATTTTGTCAAAATTAATAAATTTGACCCTAATCTAACAGTGATTTTTCTGCATGTATGTGAGTTTTGGCTTGAAATTTTGTTATTTTGGTACAAAATATACGGCAAATAATGGATGTTCATAAAGAGTTTTTTATAAGCTTTTTGTTGATATTCGAATTACTATTGTGGCTGCCATATAACCAATTTTATATTTAATTGTGTATCATTGTGTCGGGTGAACAACTTCGATAAGCGACCATGACGCACTGATTACGCAGCTACGCAAAAGCCGATCACGTGACTTCCGTCATGAAGATGTTGATAAGTACGTTCGAAAAGTATTGCGCGGCAAAATGCGCAAGATAACTTTCACGGCGACGTTCTCAGCGGGGCATCGGTCGCCGAGTTTCGATATGATATTAACCCTGTATGGATTGAAGTACCGACGTCGAGTAATGCGTGCAGTAATAGCGAGGTGAAGGGAAGTTAATATCGTCATATAAAATTTCACCTGGTTTTATACGCCCATCAGTATTTGTTCAAATATCAACCAAAATAAGTACTTGCCTGCTCTGCAGATCAAAATATCTGATTGTACGAATGTTAGGCGAAGCAAGTGGATGGATCAATATCTGAGAGAACTAATAATGCAGAAAGAGCAACACTTTTCCAACAAGATCATATGCGTCGCCAGAACCTACCGCAAAAAGCCTGTTCTAATAATAGATGCGTCGTATGCAGCAGCAAAATTTACATTATTGCCAAAAAACCAATCCAGCTGCTAAAGACAAAGCGTTGCTGAAACGATGCGAGACAGTATATAAGTACAAATACTGTAATGAGTACCTATGTATAGGTAACGGGTCCAACAACCATTGGTATAACTGGCACAACAAAGTGCAATATTGGATTTAGAATGTGTCTTTTATCTGCATAATATTTTCATGTTCTTCTTTGTTCCGGGCACAACAAAGTGCAATATTCAATTTAAAAATTTTAGCAAGCAGTCTTTTATGTACATACATTTTTCATGGTCTTTATTGTTCCGTTATTTGCTAATAAAATCACAATCTTGTTCATATTGCGTATACGTAACCACAACCCAATGGGGCTTGAGCGGGCAGTCAAAGTCAAAGCGTAGTGCGAATTTTGAATGCGTAGCATCGGGTTAATTAATTACTTCCTGCGGACATTTAAATAATAACATCTCGACGTAACGTTATTGCGGATATCGTCACGTTTAGTTGCACTTGCGTAATATACGTAAAGTTGTGCGTGACGAGACGTTGCCTCTCTTCAATGAGAACATCATTTTGACGCAGCGTCGCTGTTAAATTTACAGATAATCTAATATATTTGGCCATAAAATTTGAATGGCTCATCGTAAAATCGTTTTGGATACCTATATAAAAAGCTATTCAAATTCTCCACATATATTGCCGATTGGATATGTGGCTATTTAGGCAAGAAGTCGAAATTCTTTATATTAAATATTTGTTATCATACAATAATTTCATACGCACTTTCAAATTGCCAATTTTACTGAAACATCGTATATTAGAGCACTGATATTTACAATATAATTAGTCCCAATAACAATTTCATGCAATATAAAATTTATTTAAATACTAATTGTGGTTCTTGAGATACGACATCATAAAGTTGATTCCTTCCGACACGAAAAACAAGCCGGTAAACCGGCTTGCCGGGGCACAGAGCGTACTCAAACAAGCCGGTAAACCGGCTTGCCGGGTTCAAGCGGGTAATCGGTAAGTATGTTGATAGGTATTTGTCTGTCTGTTTGTCTGTCTGTCTGTTAGATGCACGCGATATCTCACGAAAGCGAGATTTATTATGCTCCAGATTTTGCATGTGCATTCATCATATGTCGTACCAGAAGCCTACCGATTTTAGATGAATTATGTCGTATAATTAGCGAGTTATTAAATATTTAGTGATGGGACACAAGGTGTCACTATGGAGTAAGAGCGCTGTTTTGGATCCCCTAACTTTCGATCGATAAGTCTTCGGTCTCTAACCGATATTCTCGTTTGCCAAGTTAGACCGTAACAGCAAGCGGATTTTCAAGAGTCTTGAGGGTCTAAAAATCGTTTCAAGCTACGAAAAATTGCAATGTATGATGAATCATGTGGCGTACTTACCACTTCTTTAAATCCTTTTGCATTGAACGGTATCAGAATAAAACTTTGGTTAGAAGATTTGTATGTGACGACACCGTGAACTACGGTTAGAACTTCGTCGCACACATTGCCTGAGTATCCAGTTTTACATACGCAGGATGTACAGGTCCCATCAGGTGCCGAACTTGAACAATTGCCACCGTTTTTACATTGCAAACCTTTGAAAAATAAACCAAACCTGTAATTTTTAAAATAACAGAAAAAGAAATATTTCGCACACAACAAACTTTCAAAACCCAGACACCAAAGCTCATCGTATACTTAAGCTGTTTTTTGTTCTTGGTCAAATTAAGAAACTATCCTATTCAAGGCTACGCACTCGCAATTGACAAAGTAACGTCCATCTTCCACGTCCGAGTGCGACATATATTGATTTTGATTTTAAAATACCTATTCCTAAATCTGGTCGATTGCGGAACTGGGGTTACCATTCTGCAATCAGATTACAATTTGAAACAGGAGTAGTTCCCACACAGAATGGCAGAGAACATATTTTGACGCACTATCGCTTTTCTAATTTAGGTATTCGGTCTACCAATTCGACTGATACATGATACAGTTCAATTGTAAATCGATTCTTTCTCTCGAGAACAAATTGTTGACTAAGTCTATGATTTACTGCAGCTTATTTTGGCAGCGTTTTGAACTTACACTATTGTAAAAACGGTCTAAATGTTAATCATTTATTGCAAAACAGGGGGATTTTATTTGAATATTACATTAATTCATAGCATTAAATTTGAAAACATACCTTCACTGCGGCATTCCGATAGTAGAACAAATGCTGTAAAAACGAGAAGAAGGGAAATTTAAATATTTCCAACTTTAGCATTGTGACGTGTTTTGTGATATTTCAAGAAAGTAAAAAATCCGTATTAAAAATTTCACTGGTTTCTGGAGAGTCTAGTCCTCCTCGTGTACGGTGTTTTTTCCTAAAACTTCATGGATTGTGAACATGATTAAGTTGCAGTGTGGTATGTTGGCTCAGTCTATCTGACTGCTTCTTAAACCGGGTGAACCGTTTTTATATGGAGAATGAAAATTGGCAATTACTCGAAATTCTTAATTCTCCGAACTCCTAAGTTCAGACTTAAACTAATGATCAGAAAGTCAATGTTTTCTACACAAACTCAAAGAGCATTAAGTTTGCTAAAGGTTCTCAACAATCTTTTAAAAACGAATTGCGTGTAATAAAGTTTTGAAAAGATCAGGAAACACTGTTGTACTCAGAGCGTGTCATTTTTGACCCGCACGATATAGACACGTCCAAACTGGTTAATGATGCGCTAAGAAAGATTCACACAAGAGTGCCTGAAAGTGCACGTAATTACAACTACACAAGGGCGAACCAGGTTGCTCACAATAATTGATTTTAGCCAGCATATATGAGGAGACGTATCCTGACGCGCTTCATTTCGACGTCAAAATATAATGATATAATTTTTCAGATAATACTAGAATTGTTTCTGTATTTTCACAAAATTCAACAACAAAATTCCAGTTTACTGTTTACAGAATTTTCTTGGGAACTATAATCATGTTCAAAAATATATTTCATAGGGGCCTAATCCTAAAGTTCGTCATTCGAAAATATCATTCATTATTCTATTCTCATAGTTTTCTTTGGCATAACGTTTTTCTCTGTTAGTTTGGAAGAGTAATATACAGGGCAAATTTAAACATGTCATATTTAGACATGATTATCATTCGTTACCCACCTGTTATTGCTATCTTCACAGCTTTCCACATATCCCTGTAACCTTTACCTTAGACCTATATGAACAAATCTTTCTCAGTACAATGGTTTAATTTTTATTATAAATATCTGAAAACGTAAATTCTACAGATAAATACCATTCTCAGTATAAAACCCTTTGTGACCCAATAAACGTAGTACACCGCTTCGGCCGATTAAATTGATAGGTAGGAGCTGATACAAGTAAAGATCATGTTGCCAGATTATGTTGTAATATTTGGTTTTTATAGCAGAACATTCAGTAAAAGTAATTACGATAAACAGATGTAAAGCATGATGCGAGGGGATACAAAGAATTCGTGGTCCAGCGTTTAGATGGATAGGAAGCTCCGAGAAAATGACTTAAAAACGTTATGCATCGTATCGGGAATTTTCCAATAAATAATATCAACTCGTACAACACTCCTAGTTATATATACCCGCATCTCTTACTTCTACATGCTATGCAAAGTATCGCATGAATTTAGAAATCACGATATTTAGACAATCTTGCTTTATAAATATGAAATTGATTTTTCATATTTTTTCAAACTGACTCTATACGAATACACTAACATACTAAGATCGCAAAGTAGGTTATGTGATGGTTATAAAACCATCCAAAATACAAAGTAATAGTAATTCTTTTCACTATAAATATGTGTTTAAGATGAGGAGAAATTGAAATTGCCTAAAGAGGTCACAGGAAACCGCTGGAAACAATATGGATCAAGTTCAGAGCATGTACGATAAAAAGAAATATAGTAGCCCAAATTCATCATGAGTTACAGAGATTAAAGAATAATGCAAAAATCACACTATGATTTATCGTATAAAAATTAGAAAATAGCGCAGTCCAAGACTAGCCTTATATTATATATATATCTTCCCAGATAATTGACAAAAATAATATGCTGGAACCGTGTATGCATGAAAACTAGAAGGCTTGCAATAAAGGAACAAAAATCGTAAAACTTATCTATCAGTGATAATAAAAAGAAATGTAATAAAAACATTGCACGAATATAATAGAAGACATTGCCGTTCACACGCAATTTCAACATAAAAAAATAACTATCAAATTGAGAACATTCGCCATCAGAGTCGTTGACATTATATTATTTGAAGATATTGGATCATTGTTAGGACAGAAGAGATTCATATGAGGGAAATACGACTCAATATATCAATTTGAAGAATATTCTGTTACTCTATCTAATATTATCGGATTCAAATAAATTGGCTGGCTTTTATTGGAATCCCCATTTATATAACAAGTTCGTTGACATATTGTGGGAAATCTCAAAAAAATAGGTTTCCGAAAAAAAGAAAATGCACGAGTCAACTCTTTACAATGCTTCGTAATTGATACAAACAAAACTTCAATTTATTATATATTAGTAATAGAAACATTTTATTTTTATTTTTTTATTTTATTAGCCTGGGAAATCTAATATATCAGTATCATTGTCGCTGTTTCCATCTTGTTTTTTCTTTTTCATTTTGTTTGTCCACGAAACGATGAAGCCTCCTGCAACCAGAACTATTATTACACTGCTCACTGCGGCCATGATTATCGCGACCATAAACTCCACCGCTGAAATAAAACATCGAAAAACTCAGAATAATGGAGCGACTATGTTGTTTTCACAGTTGCGTAATTGATTCGAATATTGGTTTCATAAATGTGATTTGCTACATTTGTCCAAAATAGACAAAATAACGGTTATCAATGTTGAATAAAATCAAATTTTACTATACGGTATTTCGAATAGCTGAACTAAAAGCATAGTCCAATTTTAATCTTTTCCAATAAACTGAAAGATTGCAAGTACTGAAGTGCTTACTCATATCGCATCTGACACCATTTCCTGTCCACCCTTTGTGCGATTGAGTAGTTTCATTCATTCCTACGCATTCAATCACAGTCGTTTGAGCTTCTCCAGTTTCAAAATTTACCAATGTATATCGACTGCAAAATTTATTATCATTGTATAGATTATGGTATTTTACACAATTGGTAAAGCTAATAAGCATGGTTAGTGTAGAATATTATAATAGACTTACTATTAGGTGATTTACACTTTCATCATAATTATTATTTAGCAGCAGGCAACATTGTTTTTTGGTATATATGTAGGTCGGAAATGTGCGCTATTGGTATAACTGTTTTGAATATTTTGAAAATTAATATTGCCATGCTTACTCTGGGCATTTATACTCAATGAACGTCTTGTATGGCATAAGATCATCAGAGTTTGAAATCGACACAGGTGCTCCATTATGATAATATACACTCCTTGTTGCACTTGTAGGCCACTCTGGTGCATCGCTTAGTTTGCAAAAAATACCTAAAAGTTTTATATATATAAGGGACTACATAAAATGATAAAACCAAAAAGGACACAAAGCTTCTACTTTGCTCATTTACCACAAAAATGATTTTACTGGTTTAGCAAGGATGAAATCGATATAAGTACCATAAACGCATCAATCAAAGCTGAGGCTTACCTACAGGGCAATGAGTGCCATTTCCGATGAAACCGCTTTTGCAATTGCATCCATATCCTGGTATTGTGTTGAAGCATTCTGCATTAACGTCGCACGTATATAACCCAGACGCACATTCATCAATATCTAAATAAATAAATAAATCGCTTTAAATTTGAGTCTTTAAATTCAGAAATATATTGTTTAGGAAGTAAAGTACAACGCTGAGATGATATGAATTACAGTATCTTGTGGCCATGTACTGGTAACTGTATCAGGATTATAAAAAGCATAATTTGTGATTTGCAAAGGCCATATAAGTTACGTGCCTATACCACATGGAGTAGTAGACACCAATAATATAAGTTATTTACTTTCTAGGCTGTAACTCATAATAGCAAATAATTAAAGATTGTATTCTGGGCTGAGCTTAATATATGTACTATTTGAAAAGCTATAAAAGTCGGTTCACCTGCAGTTGCCGAGATAACAGTTATCGATGAAGTAAAATTGGTGAAGAATGCGCGAATTGAACTGTTTTGCTTGAGGACATTGTTCAGATCAGAGATGAACAAAGATTGGTTAAAATTTGGCCAATCAGAAGGACGGTTCATATAAACAGTGTAGCCGACGACAAACGTGGTACTTTCATCAATAGAACGGTTGGATGATACGGAATCTTGGTAATTTACAATGGAAGATCGAAGCTGTAAAATTGCCATACATCAAAGTTACAAAACAATAAGGACGGTTCATATAAACAGTGTAGCCGACGACAAACGTGGTACTCTCATCAATAGAACGGTTGGATGATACGGAATCTTGGTAATTTACAATGGAAGATTGAAGCTGTAAAATTGCCATACACCAAAGTTACAAAACAATATCAGAAAGGCAACTTAACTGGACTTATCCCCGTATTATTTACCCCGATTGTCCCGTGTTACTTGCAAATATGGAAAATGTGAATAAGAGCATGCTGGGGCAGGGGCGTAGCCAGGAATGTTCAAATGGGGCTGGGTTTTGGTATTTTATTACTTATCGATTTTAATCGGTAAGTATGTTGATAGGTATTTGTCTGTCTGTTTGTCTGTCTGTCTGTTAGATGCACGCGATATCTCACGAAAGCGAGATTTAATATGCTCCAGATTTTTCATGTGCATTCATCATATGTCGTACCAGAAGCCTACCGATTTTAGATGAATTATGTCGTATAATTAGCGAGTTATTAATTAATTAGTGATGGGACACAAGGTGTCACTATGGAGTAAGAGCGCTGTTTTGGGATCCCTAACTTTCGATCGATAAGTCTTCGGTCTCTAACCGATATTCTCGTTTGCCAAGTTAGACCGTAACAGCAAGCGAATTTTCAAGAGTCTTGAGGGTCTAAAAATCGTTTCAAGCTACGAAAAATTGCAATGTATGATGAATCATGTGGTGAACTTACCACTTCTTTAAATCCTTTTGCATTGAACGGTATCAGAATAAAACTTTGGTTAGAAGATTTGTATGTGACGACACCGTGAACTACGGTTAGAACTTCTTCGCACACATTGCCTGAGTATCCAGTTTTACATACGCACGATGTACAGGTCCCATCAGGTGCAGAAGTTGAACAAGTGCCACCGTTTTTACATTGCAAACCTTTGAAAAAAAAAAAAAACCTGGAATTTTTAAAATAACAGAAAAAGAAATATTTCGCACGCAACAAACTTTCAAAACCCAGACACCAAAGCTCATCGTATACTTGCGCTGTTTTTTGTTCATTGCCAAATTAAGAAACTATCCTATTCAAAGCTACGCACTTGCAAATGACAAAGTAACGTCCAACTTCCACGTCCGAGTGCGACGTATAGTGATTTTGATTTTAAAATACCTATTCCTAAATCTGGTTGATTGCGGAACTGGGGTTACCATTCTGCAATCAGATTACAAGTTGATGCAGGAGTAGTGCCCACACAGAATGGCAGAGAACATATTTTGACGCACTATCGCTTTTCTAATTTAGTTTTTCGGTCTACCAATTCGACTGATACACGGTACAGTTCAATTGTAAAACAATTCTTTCTCTCGAGAACAAATTGTTGACTAAGTCTATAATTTACTGCAGCTTATTTTGGCAGCGTTTTGAACTTACACTATTGTAAAAACGGTCTAAATGTTATTCATTTATTGCAAAACAGGGGGGATTTTATTTAAATATTACATTAATTCATAGCATTAAATTTGAATACATACCTTCACTGCGGCATTCCGATAGTAGAACAAATGCTGTGAAAACGAGAAGAAAACAAATTTAGAATTGTGGCGTGATTTGTGATATTTTAAGAAAGTAAAAAGTCCGTAATAAAAATTTCACTGGTTCCTGGAGAGTCTAGTCTTCCTCGTGTACGGTGTTTTCTCATGAAACTTTATGGATTGTGAACATGATTAAGTTGCAGTGTGGTATGTTGGCTCAGTCTATCTCACTGCTTCTTAACCGGGTGAACCGTTTTTATATGGAAAATGGAATCTGGCAATTACTCGAAATTCTTAATTCTCCGAACTCCTAAGTTCAGACTTAAACTAATGATAAGAAAGTCAATGTTTTCTACACAAACTCAAAGAGCATTAAGTTTGCTAAAGGTTCTCAACAATCTTTTAAAAACGACTTGCGTGTAATAAAGTTTTGAAAAGATTAGGAAACACTGTTTTACTCAGACCGTGTCATTTTGACCCGCACGATATAGACACGTCCGAACTGGTTTATATGATGCGCTAAGAATGATTTAGTGCATGGGGAGTGGAATGGATATTATTACATTTATTACCGAACACAACAGAACACAAGAGTGCCTGAAAGTTCACGTAGTTACAACTACACGAAAGCGAATCAGGTTGGTCACAATAACTGATTTTAGCCAGCAGATATTAGGAGACGTATTCTGACGCGCTTCATTTCGACATCAAAATATAATGACCCGATGCGGAAAATTTTTCAGATAATACTAAAATTGTTTCTGTAATTTCACAGAATTCATTAACAAAATTCCAGTTTCCTGTTTACAGAATGTTTTCGTGAACTATAATCATGTTCAAAAATATATTTCACAGAGGCCTAATCCTGAAGTTCGTCATTCGAAAATACCATTCATTATTCTATCCTCATAGTTTTCTCTGTTAGTTTGGAAGAGTAATATACTAAGGCAAATTTAAGTTTTATTTAGTCATTATTATCATTCGTTACCCACCTGTTATTGCTATCTTCACAGCTTTCCACATATCCCTGTAACCTTTACATTAGACCTATATGAACAAATCTTTCTCAGTACAATGGTTTAATTTTTATTATAAATATCTGAAAACGTAAATTCTACAGATAAATACCATTCTCAGTATAAAACCCTTTGTGACCAAATAAACGTAGTACACCGCTTCGACCGATTAAATTGATAGGTAGGAGCTGATACAAGTAAAGATCATGTTGCCAGATTATGTTGTAATATTTGGTTTTTATAGCAGAACATTCAGTAAAAGTAATTACGATAAACAGATGTAAAGCATGATGCGAGGGGATACAAAGAATTCGTGGTCCAGCGTTTAGATGGATAGGAAGCTCCGAGAAAATGACTTAAAAACGTTATGCATCGTATCGGGGATTTTCCAATAAATAATATCAACTCGTACAACACCCCTAGTTATATATACCCGCATCTAAGCGAAGGCACTACCTTTTCTTACTTCTACATGCTATGCAAAGTATCGCATGAATTTAGAAATCACGATATTTAGACAATCTTGCTTTATAGATATGAAATTGATTTTCATATTTTTTCAAACTGACTCTACGAATACACTAACATACTGTGATCGCAAAGTAGGTTATGTGATGGTTATAAAACCATCCAAAATACAAAGTAATAGTAATCGACAATATAAACGAAATCTGTTACCATCACGCGCGCGACAATTGAATTTAATCTTTATAGCTTTATTCACCAAGCTCATAAATTTAAGCGTGAAACATGGGTAAATGAAAGTATACAACACGTAAACTCAATATAGGCTAACATTTCAAAGTCTTGTTTCAAACAGTAATCTCGTACTCATAATCTTCCAACCATAACACATCAAAACGTTGTAAATAGATTAAGACTGTAATACACATTTATCGAAAGTACAATAAAAAATGATACAGTCGCTAATATTATTCAACTGATATAGAAAACGTGTTTGTTTGTACCAAAAGGGATATGACGCAATTGAGTATTGATCTGCTAAATTTATGGTAGTTTTGTATGGATATTTTCAAGCATCACAATATTTCTTCATTATGTTTCTCTCGTGTTAGATAAGGTTGGGCGTAACATAAGATGATGCCGGTCACTGCGTCTTTGCGAGGCGATAACTAGATCTCTGAAATTGAGTGACTTGACCACGGGGAATATATACTGCCTATATAATATACTTGATCCCGTTTACACCCATTCGAAGAAAATTCGGAATGACCTATCTCTCAATTGGCGTAATATAAACGGGCTAGGATAACAGTTAAGACAAAATTAATTAACTCCACCATCTGCTTTGAGACCTCACTTTTTACTATATTACGCATTTTTCTAAACTTTCTCGATATCTACCAACTTTTCACTTCTCTAAAACGCAAGCTATACCACAAGTCAAATTTATTTCAATTATATCATATCAGACTTTTGGCCCATAAATTGCTTCTCTGAGGTCTGCACACTAAACCAATATCGTTCCCATATTGAACGTCCCAAATATATTATAGGACATAGCTTCATGCCATCGATAGAACTGCACTAACGGAAGTAGTCTACGTCACGCTTGAAAACGAAACCTGTTCTCTGTGTCTATGAATCACATATCCCTCAACGTAATGGATCAAATGCATTAACTAATCATTTCAAGCAGTTATGTATTATCTGGTAGTACACCGTTAACGTACAGCCTAATCTTAACCAATGGTGATCCGAGGGGATTTCTATCTTACACGTTACGATAGCGTAACTACGTAACACCAGGAAATCACGTGAAATAACACGAATGCGTAAACGAACTTGATTCTAGAACGAGACGCGTACAATGTTATCGTTTTATAGTGATGCGAATAAGCACCAATAACATCTAATATGCGCATAAACAAATTACAACATTTACTAACTAATGATAGTAATTGCTGTCTTGTACTTATCAGGAACTGTATTTCATAAAATATGGCGAACACACTCGATCATGCATTATGTCGCAATAAATATTACTCATTGATAAGATTATTTATCAAGAGGCGCGTGGATTACGTGACACATGGCTGTTACCATCTAAATTTCGCAGATATGAAGATATTATGCATGTGGTTCACTATGCGTCATTCTCCTGACTTATGCTAACTGTTGTTATAAATGAGGTCAATGCATTTCCTCGTCGCATATTTTAAACAAAACTGGTCAATGCGTTGATTTCTACATATAGCTGTGAAAAGTGTTTTAAAAAAGAACCACTGTGTAGTAATTGGTTCTAGTTTATTCAAGCGATACCTATAGAAATATATTATTCAGAGGATATAAATCTGTTGTGTGTTCCAGTAATTTGATTTGAACGTTCCTCGAGACATCGAAGCATGATATGTGTAAAAAATTGCCGCACGACGCTAAAATGATATGTTGTAAAGAGCCAATGTGTGATGGCCTTGTCTGTATACTCAAAATGTATCCATACTTTGAATGAAAAAGTGTTTGCTGATTTTTATTCATGGAACTGTATTCACACTATCACACGACACGATCAAGCCGTCATGTCAACTTTCAATACTCCTGCCGAAGGATGTAGCTTTAAACCAATAGGGTGTTTCTCAAATCACTAACACACGGTATATAATATATTTCGGACATTAAGATCAGATTTAGGGATTAGATTAGGCTGGAATTGGAAATTAAATTTTGCATGACTTATTACGCATCATAGGTATTATAAACTAGTTTTTTATTCTATGTTATATCTTCTGTCATATCATTCCGAAAACAACATTATCAGGCATTTTACTGTAATTGTCTTTTATTACAGATTTCACACGTGCTTCATAATGTTAAAATCTATATCTTTTCAAGCATGAAATGCAGATAAATTACTTGAAAATTATTCAACTATTTGTTAATTATTATTGATTCAAAATGGTGGAAAATCATAAATCTCTCAAACTTTGATCGAAAAATCGAGTAAAAGCAAACATGAGCTCATATATCCCAAATATTAACTGTATGAATAATGTAAAATATTTGCAAAAAAATAGTGTGAAATTACTATATATAAACAAACGCATTTGTAATTTATTTAAAGAACACGCAAAATATTTCTATGGGGCTGACTATAATAAAACAATATTACATGATCGAAAATATAAAAAAAAACCGACGATAGCATAAATTGGAAGAATTGAAAGTAATTGTAATAACACTACATCTTTTTTATTTTTTCAAGCATAAATGATTCTTCAAAGATTTGCATTTGCTCGAGGCAAGATCGAGGAAAGATTCAACAAAATGTTTCTGCCGCCAAGTCGATCAGGGGCGTACTTTTTGGGTCAAACACTCGTACGGAATAAGGTTTCAAACGAAAACCTCTTTTTCCTCACGCTATATTGTTTCAAAACTTACACTTGAGTGTGATCATCAATATTCAGTTGATTATAGTGATTACAAAATTTACGATTTCTTCGGGGATTTTAGTATGTCAAATTTCGTTTAAGATTGTATTTTCATGGCTAGATCTAAGAAGTGGGCCCACTTGCAACTATGAGTTGGCGTGCTAAAAATTACATGACGAAGTTACTGTTTGGCAAAAGAGAACATAAATTCGAAAAGGGGGGAAGGAAACTATTTATGGCTGCATTCACTATTTAAAATAAACGAATCATTTCGAGCTGGTTACGGAAAGAGAAAACTACATTACGCCAATTTGTACGGATATAAATTCCACTTACAATTTAAAATATTAGCAATTATTCTGAAACAAATATAAATATCAAAGAAAAAATTAAAAATTGACAAATTGATTTAATTTCATAAAAAATTGAAGGTTACAGTGAAATTAGTATTGAACAATAATTAGGTATATAGAGTTTTATGTCATATAATAAATTCAATGAACTAAATTATAAAATTTTACAGAGTATAGGCAAGGTGAAAAGTTTGAACGAAGAAAATACATTTTATTCAACAAATGTCCCACCCGTATAAATAGCAGGCAGTAAAATAACATTTGATTTCGAACCAACACTTTATTTTCTGCGTTAGTCTATTTTAATGTTCATAACACTATTATGTATAACGTTAGTAGTATCATCTGTTTTTGGTAATCGTTGTCAGAGATCGATTTCTAGAAAGACAATACCAGTTGACCTTTCGAATTTCCATAAAGAGAAATGAAGGGGAAAGTTAATCGAAAACAAAAATATATTATATGTATTAACATTACCCAAAACGTCCATTCTAGCGGCACTGCATTGCAGCAGCGGCCCCGGCGCTCGTAAAAATAGGTAGAGATAAACGGATATCAAGACTTTTATGTGCCGAATCGAGTTGGTAAATGCTTGTACGTTTAGTCAGTGGTATAGAAACAAGCATTTTTTTTTTATCAAAATGAACTCTGTGTCGATTTAATTGATGTTTTTCACAGATTTTTTTACAAAATGGTGTATTCGTATTCATCATCATCATTTTGGTAGGCTGGGTTAGAATGAGCATTTACGGCAGCTTCGACTGAATCAAGAACCTGACTTATGCTAATATCTTCAGCAGAAGTGCTGGACGAAGGGGATTCGACGACAATTTCCTTGACTTTTTCGACAACATGTTTCGCAGGTTCCGGCGCTGGCTTGGGCTTGCTAGTTCCTCGAGGTACTGGGGGTGGTTCCAACTTGTCTTGATCTTGAATGCTCGCTGCAGCCGCAATCATTTGTGAGAATTGGGAGTTTGGATTCAATAGTAGACTTGCCGGTTCATCGAATTCGGCCACCTAAACAAGTACATTTATTACGTTATTCGTTAACAAGGTAATATCTGGCTATTTTCACACAACCTGTGAAAGGAAAACATGTTCAGGTTAAGAGTAGATTTTTTAAAATTTGGTGAAATATTGTGCACATTTAATATTAAAATTTAATATTATTTCATATATGTCCAGTATTAACGTATTTTACGATTAATGTTTTTATTTCAATATTGTATTTGCAACTTTTTCGGTTTAGACTCTTATAAGAAGATTTGGGCTACTGATTTTCTATCCGCTCAAAAGCAAGTATTGAAAGTTTATGATGGAACATTGGCAGGTATATTTGGTATAAATACACAATCTTACAATTCTGATCACATTCAATCGGTGGCTAAACTACGTAAAAATGTCGCCCATTGCGAAGTTCAAAAACGCACTCTCTTGATTATCGACTGGCAATTTTTAACGACTGATGTACATTATTATTTGAGTTTTATTTATTTACGATTTGAAATTATTTTATTGAAACATGTTAAAATCAAATCTTTTTGCTCACTTCCCCAGGGAGCGCCTATGACACAAGCTATGACTGCCACACTCTAGACACGGTACTGTATTCAATATGAATGAAGTCGTTTCAGTGAGAAAAGAATGCTAACATAATTCAAATACCCTTCGTATATTTTGTCACACACTCTCGAAATTGTTGAACCGCAGACTATAGGAAAACAAATCCGAATGCACTGAATGCACTGAACTTTATCAATGCCTCGTAAAATAACGACTCCATGAATTTAATTAATTTTATACTATATATAGCATAAAAACACATCTAACTTACATAGCCGTTATCCATAACCAAGATTCGATCACATGTCAGAACAGTGTTGAGTCTGTGGGCGATCGTAAGCATGGTACAATCGGAGAATGCATCGCGAATTGTTTCTTGAACAAGAGCATCAGTTTGACTGTCAATAGCAGCAGTTGCTTCATCTAACATGATAATGCGAGAGTGCCTGAGCAAAGCACGAGCCATACACATCAGCTGACGTTCACCGACACTGAAGTTTTCACCGTTTTCTACAACTTCTGTTTCCAGTTTCATCGGAAGTTCCGTAATCTGCCGCACGAGAAAAGAAATTGTCTGAACTGTGGTTTCTAGGCATTATCAATTTTATGATATTATTAACTTAGCCTTGGCTTATCCATCAGGCATCGACAGCAAAAGTACTACTCGTTTTCGAGTGTGTTAAATATTACGGGACAACTCAAATTCCACCCAATGCCTCCCTAACGTAGTTCCCTGTAAATACACTGAATGAACTCATGATAAAAGTTAAATAAAGCTTCATCTATTTCACCTGGTATAGAGAGATGACCAGATAATGAAGATTTATTGTAATTTAATTGTGGGATATTTACCGCTCTCTTCATATGTGTCCTTTCCAAAGCCATCCATATTTCTGAATCTTTATATTGCTCAAAAGGATCAAGATTGTAACGCACAGTTCCCACAAAAAGTACCGGATCTTGTGGGATGATAGAAAGTTTCTTTCGAAGATCTTCCAATCCCATCTTCCCAATTTCTAAGCCATCGATAAGAATTCTTCCATGTGCCAGTTCCACAAGACGAAAGAGGACCATTCCCAGCGATGATTTACCTGAAAAGACAAAGGTTATAGTAGTATAAAGCTAGCCAAACCAAATGTGCTTAGATAAAAGATGAGCAACAACTTTATTCTGTATATTGCATAGATATTTTATTCGCGCGTTTGTCCATTTTACCTAGGCGTTTGCCTCACATCACTCATTCTTTTGATGACCTCGAAAAATAGGAGAGGAGTTTAAATTATATAACATATATAATGTCCACGATGAGAATCCCCGTTATAGCGTTTGTAGTCCTTAGCGGTATATACGACATAATGGAGTCTCTAAAACACTGCGAGCAATGTGTTTCAAAATCGGAACAGCAAGATTTTGCATGTTTACAAGTGACGCAAGACGTAATTATCTTTTGATTCTGGCAACCATGGTAAACTTTTCTTAAATCATACGCAGTTAATGATTTATGTTCACGCTAAAGTCGTTTATTGACTGTCTACGGCGTTGCGTACCTTGACCCGGTTACTTGGTAATCAAGGCACGAAATAAATTACGGATGATCACGCAAGACCTTACGCAACAGTGCATCATAAATGATTACTCTTGACCATTGTAGATATACATGATTTGTGAGCACAACACCTTAATTTCTGGTGGTTCCACCTAAACGTCTATTCGTGTTTTTGTAAATAATCTACCAAGCAAACAACAAAGACCAACGTGAAGGAGGCGTACTTTGCACGCAAAGACGCAAGCGAACAATGGAAGATTAATTATTAAGTTCAAATATATCAAGTTTCTTGATGATGTATGCGTAGGTAACACGCGCGCTAAATCACCCTGTCACAAATATGATATTCAAACAAAGCATTCGTGTGCCTATAAATTTGAGTGCTTAAGTTTATAAATGTGTTATTATTCGACACGGAGTGGTTGTTGTTGTTGGGGCGACTCATCTGGTGTAGAAAAAAAAATCGCTCTTGTCGTAACTAATAAACTAATCGACTTTCAATTTTCAGTACTTGAGAATGGAAGCAGACGCTAGAAGGCTATAACTTTCATTACGTTTTTCACAAATACCCCGCGAGTCCTATGAAACCCAATGAATGAGTAAAAATTGAACGCTTACCAGATCCCGTTCTTCCAACTATTCCAACCTTTTCATTGGGTTTGACAGTGAAACGTAATCCACGCAACACTAATGGCAGCTCAGGTCTGTATCTCATTGTAGAATTATCGAACCTGACAAAACAAGATCATGCGGAATATACTTGGGTCGCTATCCAACTTCTGTAAAGCAATTCACGACGAAGCGCTTATTGGAGCTTTAATCGAAGTGTAGCCTAGTTTAGGTGTTTAGATAATTTGCTAATGTGCTATTAGTCGTTATGAGATCTATAAAAAATCTTATTATCTATCATACACAATTTCCCCTCTGCTTGGCCATTCCTGTGGAGGCCTCGATTTCTTGATCTTTCTCGGTGCTTCAGAAGGACATCCTGTGATGTATTCAACAACCCTCTCCACTGATGTATAGTAAGATTCCGTTTCAACACTAAAACGTACGCATACTTGAAACAATCCTGTCATCTGCAAAAATTTAGAAAATTTTACTTTCGAAGGTTGAATTTACAATGAAGCAAGCCGCGATTTTGGAAGTACATATTGTTTAAATAAGAGGGCGTATTAAGATAAAGCTTTTAGACTTAAAAGTGAGGTAGAATTCTTTAATTAACAGCAAACTGCTTGCATTGCTAAAAAATTAAACGAAGTTCCTAAAATACACCAAAATAAATAAGGGGAAAACCTTACAAATGGTAATATTTATATGTCACACACCTCGTATCTAATACAAATATTTCTGAAAATTTTCGAATTAATGTAATTGTTGACATTTGTCCGAACTACCGACATATGAGTACATGTACTGCATTGTACAAACGCAAAAGTATTTGTGACTGTATCAAAATACACATATGTGAAGTACAACTACGTATATGACAATGCTTAAATTTACTTGAACAGAATATGACAAAGCTAATCCCGCATATGCTGCTGTTGTTTCTCCAACCCCGATGTCATAGATTGTTGTCAATACCACCAACAATGATATCAAAAACGTAACAGAAATTGTCATCGCATCAAGTCGAACAGCCAACCATCTCATGGAAGAGTAATAACACAAATAAGGCGATGTGCTTGCGTCCATCAACGTGTCAAACCTTCATGGAAACATATTAGATTACGGTCAAACAAGTAAAGTAACGTAGCAAAAAAAAACTTTCAACATCTACATTTACGGGATAGATTTCACAGATCGTTACCAGAAAATGACAAAAGCTTGAATTTCCCAAAAACCCAATTCTCAGCTGAATCATCGTTTTATTTTTAATTTCTTCAACTGCTGGAATGAAACAAAATGAGTTTTACTTACTTTTCAATAAAAGCATCTGTCTTTTTATAAGCATGAATTGTGCCAAGGCCTTGAACTGTGGAAGTGACATGAGAAAACAACGGCGACCTGTTAAAAATTGTATCAATTTCTTTGCTCTAGTGGTGTAATTTTGAAGATATTTGAACCTATATGAACATTAACGCTGTAACAGTTATCTGCAATTTCCGTGTTCTGGTGGCATAATTTAAAAGTTCTTTATGTCTGAAGGAAACATCAACGCTGTACCACATTTCTGGTGGAATTTTAGCGCTTAGATGAGCTATCATGTTTCTTGGACAAAATATGATTTATTCAATGACATATTCATAAAACAGAACTATATATTTCAGCAACGTTACCGAGGTTTTCTCCACAAAAAATTACATAACGTGGTAACAAACCTTGTGACATTGTCAATTCTCTTCAACTCACGAACTGCAATTCTGAAGATCCGGTATAAGTAAACAAAAACCAACGCCAGTATTATCACGACAATGATGAACGCCGGGAATACAAGAACGATGGAAATGATAGAGAATACAACAAGCCAAGCCTGAAGAATACACAAAGTCTTTATCAACAAGTAAGTGACCACCTGCTACATTACACGCTTACAATTCACTACAAAGATATTTTCTAGTGTTTGTACTTAGTTTTGTTTTGTAAAGATAGTGATGTTTTCATGTAAGTGTTTTTGTGCAATATCCCACATTTATTCAAAGCTGTTGTTGAGGCTTCTGTTTTTACATCGGACGGGAATATATATACTGCATTAACAAAAATATAACTCACTTGAATGAGGAAGGTTTCCATTGTTTGTGGTAGACGGACATCCATATCGTCCATGTCTCTGGAGAATCTGGAAAAAACGATCAAACGGTAAAAAATAAAGTAACCTAATGTCTCTAGTAATACATCAGTAAAAATGACGTTTAAGCTGTTAGTATAATGTTACATTCTCCTATTGTTATAGGGCGATAAGCTCGGCACGGCTTTCTGAAATAAGGGAACCTGATTTTAGTGAGTTCGATACGAAAGGGAACCCGTTCTTAAAATTTCCAATCGCATTCCTAGTTTTAATGAGGTTAAAACTGAAGTTTTCAGTCCCGTTTTCTTATTCTTCTTTGACTGAAACATTAGTTAATTTAATTGCATACGCAAAAATGAATTGAATTGATATTGTATATACCTGTTTAGAATTCTACCGGTTGGAGTTACATCGAAAAAACTCATAGGACTGCCAAATACAACACGGAAAATTTTGTCATGCAATCGTGAAGATGCACCGATTACTATGTGTGTATACATGAGTGCCTTCAATACGACAATGATGAGAGTGATGATGAGAATAATGAAATAAACAGCCTGGAAAACAAGGAAGAATTAATACAGTCGCCTGGCCATAATCGGTTAGGCTTTTGCTAAGATTTTGGTGAGTTTAAAACCCTATGTAGCCGACATCCGCCTGAGGCATTTTGTATAATCCTCCTAAAAAATGTCATAATTTTTATTCCAAACGTGCGAGAAACTTCACTCAGATCTTAATGGAAAGCGTATTTACGCGGCTTTATAACTGCCGAGACACGTACGCGTTCCTCTTTGCCCTGTCGCGTTGTAACGGAGAAATTTGAAAAAAAAATTGAAAAACATTTGTATTTGAAATCGCTGTGATAAACACAAGCAAAATCGACTCGACAACAAAGTCTCTCGAAAAATATAATTACGTCACCTCCTCAACGTGCCCAGACTTTCCTTCTGAAGCGCAGTGAAACTCTAGAGATATTCAAGATACGAAGAGCGCATGTTTTCGCGAAAATTTTAGAGCGAGCGCAATCATCGTTTGTTTATTATTGTGCGGGTAATAACTGGTAGCTTGTTTACGCGTGGAAAACTCTTGCTAGCTCGCTCAAATTATTTGCTTTCAAGTAAGGACAGATTCTTCGTATTCTTATTTCTCAGCTTTCAAATATTTACAGACATAAAACTCGGAGAATTGAAAATATGAGGAAGGAAAAATGACGCACGAACAATCGGACAAGCATATATCATGCTTGGAAACGACGCAAAAGTTTCTTATTGCTTTTGTTTTGACTTAGTTCACGATAAGACGTATACGTAAAGAATATTAACTCTTACTCACTAATCATATTAGGGCCATATTTTTATAAGCACCTAAGTGCTCTCCCGGCTAGATCGGGTTGTTTATTATGATGACTACATTTTGTGGCTTACTTCGGAATGGAAACCATCTTGTCATATCATGTTAGATATTGAAAATCTTGACTGAAAAATTGCTCTCATAAAGTGATTTTGAATTGATGATATAATTATAAAGTATCTCAGACGAGACAAAAATAATGATCAAGTTGTACCTGGTAAAAACCCAATCTGTCACCTTCAGATATATTTGCGGTAAATTCATAGTCTCCACAATACACAGTGGTGTTCCATGCATCTGATATGGTTGTTGTCGCATAGGTTGTGGAATTTTCCAAAATCTGATCTGATGTCGGGGAGGTACAATTGGTAACGTACTACAAAATCAAGATATTCGTTACCTTAATATAAAAGATTTCTATTTTAACAACAAATGTAAATCTATCATAATGGCTATATTGGATGCTAAGTTGTAACTCTTAGTAACTAAAAATTGTTATTTTATCAAAAAGAATTTTTGCTGAGTATATGTATAGGTTTTTAACGTTATTTGAAGTACTCGATTTTTAGACTGAATCCTTGGAAAACTGACACAACGAGCTTTGACGTGGTAATTGGGCTATCGAGGAATAAGTAACAAACTGAAATAAACTAAAAGTATCCACTTCTATATCTTTCAAAAACAAGAACTAATTTAAAATTGACTATAACTGACTTCGTGCCTACAACAGACCATTCTTTTCAATATACTTACACTTATCTATATGTGTTAAAATATATAAATAAAATGATATTTACAGCTCCAGCGTTGACCCAAATAGTCAACCACCAGTTGTCCAACGTAGCTCCAAAAATCAGAAGCGCAAACAACGTTAGACACGTTATAGCAGCACACCATCTAAAAAGAAAATGTGAAAGTATGTATAGGTTTCATTTTAATATATTTGTGACTAAAAATTGTATTTCTAAATTTTAGTGTATAATAGGCCGATCTATTGCAGTATGGGGTTTGTGATTGAATGAAACTCATTTCTAAATGATTACATTCATCAAAATACGACAGGATACTGTTTGGAATATGGAATACTATATATAATAGCATAACAAGATGAATTTTCTAATTCAAATTAATACAAAACATTAAAGGTTTATTAGGTAAATATGGAAATAGGCAAAATGTCAAAGACTTACCCTCCTGCAGCATGTACATAGGCGTAGTAAGTTTTGCTAGATACCGATCCGGAGCTCTGGGTTTCCGCCTGGACAAGAGTTGTCCTGGTTTTCTCTTTACCTTGTCATACAAAAAGTAAAGTTTTAACATTAAACATTCAAAAAATGATTTGGAGATGCGCGTTTTACCTACCTTCGTCAAACTCGGCAACCACGGCGTCATCCACATAAGCCCCACCTTCTGCTTGCAAACTGTCAACCTTCTCGCGAACACTTCCCATTCGTTTTAACATCGGAGAAGAAGAGAACTCATCGTGATTTGATGATCCAATACTCAGGCGATCGAGTTGCAAGTCTGTTATTCATTTAAGAACGAAACGTCATAAATGTGTTTAACCAGGTATAACAAATAAGATGAAAGTTTAAGAAAATTGATCTTTGTAACTCTGAGTCTTAGATGATGGATGGCGCGTTTTAGCCGTTTCTTTTTGTATTTATGCTCTCATATTCTGAACCAGGGGGAAACAGAAAGCGCTACAAATGAAATAAGATTGTGGATATCACGAAAATTCTAGAATAGATACTATACATAGACTATTTGAACATGGGTATTTGGCAACTATTTTGATAAATATTTCCTTCCTAATCGCTGTATATAAATCTAAGTATACACATTCTACCCTTGATTCAATAAATTTCGTAAACGGATATTTCTCAATACTACCATAGAATCAGATTCTCCAACCAACTGCACAAACTAAACACAAAACCACTTCGCGCGTAGCGGATACAATTGTCAACAGCGAAATCTATAAGTGATCCTCACCCTTAGCAGATGCTGTACTGGCTTTCCTCTCCTTCAAGATTTTTTCAACCAGATCTTTATCCAGGGCTTCCGTGTTATCTTTATCATCATCTTGTTCCAAATAAAAGTTACTAGAAAATAAGATTTTATGTTAACTTTACTTCACATTACAGGAAAGAATGGCAAGTTTTTGATTGAAATTTGAAAAATATTGCTGAATTTGAACTTTTATTGACTTGGTCGCATGGGTTGGTTTTGTGAATTGTAAAAGTAGATTTGGTAGCTAAAGTGGTTCAAGTGAAAATGTGACTTCCTAATAAGTTCCCAAACCCAGGTCTCCACGTTATTAACACCAGTTGATAGAAAATATTTTCCTTTCACTTAATCTAATGCACCCTTTGAAAAGTCGAAATGTCCTTCCGGGGGTATAAGCGCCCCAGTTTGGGGATCCCTGCAAAGGGGTTGCAAAAGTATCTAGATTTGGAAATATTAGTCCTATATTGTTATTACTGACATATTCTACATATATACATAGGTAATTTCTATATAATGGAGATGACACTCACTTTATCAGTTCTGCGTAATCCTTGCCGGCTTCCATTAAATCATCGTGCAATCCGATCTCAGCGACTCGTCCCCTTTTAAGGAGAAGAACTTGATCGCAATCCTTCAAGTACTGTAACTGATGCGTAACAAATATGACTGTTTTCCCCAGCATTAATTTTTTGATGCAATCGAAAAATATTGTCTTTCCCACGTGTGCATCCACGGCCGATAAAGGATCATCCAAAATCACAATGTCATTCTCACTGTATACAGCTCTAAATAGAAAAAATGAAACATTAGAATTGCAAAATTAATGCAGTATTGACAAGTAATATAGTATAACTTAGAATGCGTGATTTTTTGCTGGATACATTTAGTAAGAAAACTTAAAGATTTTTGGATATGTATCTCTGACAATAGACAAACCTTGCAAGACTGATTCTCTGTCTCTGACCTCCGGATAAATTGATTCCTCTTTCCCCAACTTCAGTCATGTCGCCGTCAGTCAATATATCAAAATCGGGTCTTAAACAACAGGCTTCAACAACTGAAATCATAAGAAAGCAAATATTTTTATATAAATTTTTAGATAAAATAGTATAATATTGCACAGGCGCATATAAGCAATTATATACTTCACATACGACTTGTGTAACCATCAAGGACTCTCTGTAAATAATACACAGTAAATGAGGTAAAGCAAAATCAAAACTTATCCACGGAGGCAGCGACGAAAACAAAGTCCTATATACACAAGAAATTCTAGCTTCATTGACCTTGTCACTAGATTCTACTGGGTTGACAAAATATGTACCTAACTTCTTGCAAACTCCTAATGACTCCGTCCCACAATTTATACAATTTATTTTCAGACAATGTGTATCGAGATGTATAGTAATGTCATACCTTTGTCATACTTTTCTTGAATAAATGGTTTTCCGAATGTGATGTTGTCGCGGACGGTCGCATGAAATATCCAAGCTTGCTGAGGAACGTATGCCATGGATCCATCAATGCCAACGATTCCCTTTTTGATTCTGGTTTGACCCATCATTGAGCACACAAGAGATGACTTGCCAGCACCGACAGATCCGCAAATTCCAAGTAAACTGAACAGCAAAATGTACACATGAGTGGCTCTGAATCTTTTTGTGAGAAATCAACGTAATTTGACAGATGTACCGTGATGAGTAAAACAAAAGAGCGATTCTCAAATATATGGTCGCGAAGACCAAAACGAATAGTACAAATATGTACAGTGGACTTCTGGTACCGCAGTATTCACGACTTCGTCTGTCCACCTGATAGAAGAAAAAGCGGAACCGCCACAAGGTACCCTATTCTTAATTTTGATGGAGTCATCTTATACAAAAATATCAGAGGCCATGGAAATTTGTGAAATAAATAAAAGTTATAGCCTTATAGCGAAAACAACAATCTTCAACCACTGGAAAGTTTAAAGCAAATTGACCAGTTAATTAAAAAAGCGATTTTTCACACGAAGTAGAAAAAGAGAAATACTAACAAGTTGATCAATACCAACTACAATACCATAGTAACAAAACGATCTTTATATGTATATTTCGTGTCCAATAATTGAATCATTTGCGCGAACTTTTCGAAACGTGCATATACCAAAATTTAGAAAATGTGTAATCGTTTTTCTGGGTCATTCTGAACAGGTTATGATGTGAAATGTTTCTTAATCAGAGTATTTTAAAAATATAGGAAGCATTCTACATTTAGTCACTGTTCGGACAATTTTTGCCACGTGCTATAGCAAAAGTTGATTCTTCTTGGTGTTACAATTGCGGCTTTTATGTTGAGTTGTTGTGTTTGCCCTCGCATAGACTCAGTCAATAGGAAACAAAATGTACTATCGGTAAAGCCTGTCTCTCGCATTAAAGTTCGCATTTATCCACGATGTCTACAGGCTAGTTAGAGAAGTACAACATGTGCTTTAACATAACGCCAACTAACCTGCCTTTGGGTACTGTTAAGTCAATATCAAACATGACATCGACAGTTTCTTCTAGGCCAACTTCTTGCTTCTTGAAATCTTTTTTCTTGTCTTCTCCGCTTTGGGTTTTCTGCACGAAAATTAAACAAAAAATAGTAACTGGTAATTTAAAATGTGAAAAATCGAAAAGTATATTGCAGCTCCAATATTATACGGGAAAAAAAAAAATTATAGTAAATAAGAATAAGAGAATATAGATTTCGTGTATGATCATCTTGCTCGAGAAAAATTGAAAACTATAGAACTCGGCATACCACAAAATATTTGTAATTCTACAAACTTCCGACCAGTGTTGTGAAACAAATTGAATACAAGAAGATCACATATGTCAACACAAAAATACATGGTCTTGTTCTATTTAACTTTATTATTTGCTGTAGTAGTCTTAAAAGACGTTTGCTCGTGACCAAGAACATAAAGTTGACATATGTCCGTTGCTGTAGGTAAACAGGATGTCAATTTGAGCAGCAATTTTTTAAGAGCACATATAATAAAGTGGCTCAAATCTAAATGTTGGAAACACCAAATAATTTTTGATATCTTTGATCAATATAAAATAGTCTCACACGTCGCAAAACCACTAGCTACCCGAAGGGCATACAATATGAAAACGAAAAAAACAACATAGAAATGTAAAAAACATGTTTTGATAGACCTAATAACGAATATTTTAATTCACCATTTTACGTATTCACATACTTACTTCGATAACATCCCACGCGACAGTCATATTTCGCAGCTCAACAGCGTTATTTCTCGACTTTGGCGAAACTGAGTATTCTTTCATTTCTTCCATAAGTAGTAGATCGTCCATACGATCGAACGAAACAAAAACCTGAATTAATGAATTGTCATTCACAGCAAGATCTGTTGCAATTTCTTTGTTTTGGAATCATGTTATCGCAAATCAATAATATTTTATTTGAAAAAAAGGAAATAAAACTGTAAAATCTCGCTAAACTCCAATCGTATCCGGCAATTCCATTATTGAAGATAGAATAGAGAGGTAGGTAGGATCGTTCGAAATTTTTCTCGAATGAAAATGGGCACGCTAGAGTCCCACAAAAGCCGGCGCAGTTGATGTGGATTTTCACATATTTGACATAGATATTGATATGTTTGCGAAAACAATATTCCATTAATTCAATGCAATACATACCTCAGCTACGGCCTTGACTGACATCGGCAGAATTGCGAGGATGAATCTCATGGCATTGAATATGGCAATCACGGTAAACGCCTAAATGAGTATAATCAATATTTTAGAACAGTGGTTGCCAATCTTTTTCTAGCCATACCATCCTTTGCTTATTTTGCTTCCCTTGTTTTCATTCGTTATTTAATATTTAATGAATCATTAGCAAACTACACGCGCACCTTGCACTTCATATTCTGTTCATATATATTGGAATTTTTCAATGATTGTGCTCATATATATGTGATACATTAATACTGAATAACCAAACAATTTTAGTGAAACGAAATACAAAGTAATATTGTTGTATTTTACTTTCCAGAAACACGCACATTTCTGTCTACAGAAGAATTCTTCCAAGGTTGGGAAACGTTCTGATAGAACAGAAATAATGGCCTGGATGAGAGAGGTTTATTTTTTCGTCAACCAAAATTAAATATCAGTCATCGTCATGATAAAAATATTAAAAAGTAGTAAATTAGTTTGGTATAGACAGGTGAACAATACTGGTTAGAGACCTGGCCCGATCAGGTTTATATACCTTGTCCGCAGTGGTGGGATTCAAATTTTTTGTCGACCGGTTCCTTCACAAAAGTTATATATTTCAGCCGGTTCTGTTACAAACAGAACATTGACAGTAACCAGTAATGCTAACCGGTTCGCTGATCTTGTAAAATTCCGTGAGACGGTTCTATAGAACCGGTGCGAACCTGCTGAATCCCACCACTGCTTGTCCGCAATATTCATAGCATGAAGTATGTTATATATATTTAAAACCCACCTGATCTGGATATAATGGATAACCCATGAGCGTGTGAACCAGGAAAGTCAATACTGTAGAGAGTACTGGTACTATAGGAACAACAGATATTTGTAAACTCTGAATCATAGCTTGTTTCGTGAGCACCTTCCTCTCGTCCGATCGGATTGTCTCTGAAAGAATATAAACACAATCTCTGGAGACAGAAGTAGAGGGATACTTGAAGTGTTCAAGTAGAAAACTTGTGAAATCATAGTCGGAATTTATGAAAGTCAAGAAAAATATAATTAAAATTACTTCCAAGACAAGGTGTTGCATCGAAATATTTAGAGCAATATAATAAATTTACTTCCCTATTATAGCTCATAGCTTTTGTAAAAATGCTTTGTTTTTGAATTTCGCAAATTTTGCTGCAATAATATGTAACAATATTTACCGTGAGCTTTGATCGCCATTGTTGTATAACAATGTGTGTTGTTTTAAAGGTGGTTGATTCAGATCAGTGTTATTCTTTTCGTGTAATATAGTAACTGTGGGTTGATTATAAAAGTTTATTGATACTTTTAAGCACAAACCTTGAGCGCGAAAGACCAGTAATTAACGCGTTTGATCGTTAGCGTCGCAGATTAAAAGGGATCCATATAGCATTGTTTGAAGGAAGGATGGCCTCTTCTTATAATAATCTTTAAAAAATATGCCTCGTAGGTAAATTTTGAATAGGATAAAAATGAACTTGCAACATGTGTATACGCGTATATTGCCCCACACCATTGTATCACATGGTCCGTCTCTAGCTTTTGCAATGAAAGCATGTTAATTTGAATACATATATAATGTTGAACTTACTGATCGAATCAGCGAAACTGTCCTCCCATGCATACATCTTGATCAGTTTTACACAAGTTAAAACTTCGTTCATCATCCTGACTCTAGTATCTGTTATTCCAATCGCCTTCTTCCGATATCCAGTCATTAATCGGGAGAGCACAAACTGTAAATAGACAAGTTTTTGCCGAATTTAAAGAAAGAAAAATGAGTGCAAAACATCAATGACAGAATTTGACAAATAACACTCACCTGATAAGGAATGAATAACAAAAATGAACCGATTCCCACAAGGGATGTCCAACCGATCAGATAGTAACAATAAATGGTAGCAAATAAAAGCATGACAGGTGCACCGACAAGAATTCCACCATACATGATCATTTCCGCTAAACGTTGACCATCGTTTGCAATGAGATTTACAAGCTGTTGAGATAAAGTTTATATTTGAGATATATATGACAGTATTATAATACATTACTCCATCAACGACAGTGTTATTAAATTTTTATAACGTCCCATATGGGAACGTAAAAATACTGTATAACGCACACGATTTTACATGTGTGCGGTTGTTTTGAAACATATTCACAAAATTTTCCAAATGGAAAACAATGAAATTTTGCATTAAATGTGTAAAGTTATGTACTGCAATTTCCTATTAATCACGGGAACACTAAATCAAAACTTTTTAACCGTTGAGCTTTGTTGTATGACTTCTATTGAATTAAGATATGCTCAAACCTCTCCGACAGATTTATCTTTGAGACTTCTCAATCGTGCAATCTTTCTAAATACAATCGAAAGTACTGCTCCTCTGGCACGGGCTGCAGTTCTGTAAAGATCGTATATATAGATAATAAATTATAAACGACGAATACATTCATTCCACTGGATTTTGTATAACAAAAGTAGGTCATCCATATATCACTGTTTGTTAGTTGTGGAAATATTCCTCGGTTACTGCGTGATATATGAGATTTAACAATTCGCATGCGATAGATAGACGACGCACGCTCTTAGGAATTTTCAAACAAAAATATGTGAAAATTACCTGTAATTGACAGCCCAGAACAAAGAAAAGAGTAAAGATCTTCCAAACTCTGTGCATAATATTCCAAAACTAAGACCAAGTCCATATCCAATACTTGGATCATCAAGATCCGCAAACTGAACAAGTTTGTTGACAAGTATAGCCTGAGATGAAAGCATATATTTGAAAATAGTGTAACCTGAGGTTTAATCATTTTTTGATGAATGAATTAAATAATAGAAAGATGGAAAAGGTCGCTTTTTCGATATGATAACCAAAACTGGTTATCGAATGAGCGACAGCGCGTATCTACCAATACGACTTTCACTGTTTTTTTCATTGTTTGTCCTATTGATCCCGGAAATATTTCAAATGTGTTTATCTAATATTAGAAATAATCAACTATATTAGACACAAAGCAATTGTGTTTACAAAAACTTCCATAACGCGAATAACAAACTCACCGGTCCAATAAATGCGGATAATACAGTGAGAGAAATGATGAAAGTGGACATGAGCATTCTTGTTCGGATATACCGCAGAAAAGCCCGTCTCATTGCTTGCTTCCCACCTCTTTCGTCATATTCTTCATCGTAAAGTCTATTTAATCTATACACCAATAGAATCATAATATTTAATAGGTTGCGAAATTCGACAAACAATGTATATTTACAAAGTATATTTTTTCGTCAGCTGCATGATATTCCTTTTCTCTTGAAAAGAAGTCTCTCCCTAATACTTAGAGACTTTCAGAGTGCGACCATGTCCCCAAACTTACATAAGAATATAGCATGACTACAATATTCAGACAAACTTCTTGGCATTAAATTACATTGACATAGAGGGTTCATTGACAGTAGAAACGTCAGGAACATCAACTGCCAGGGTTTTCATCTTGTTTTGTAATTCCTGGAAAATCCAAAGGCAAATAGTTTATAAGTTACCTCCTCGACGAATGTTCGGCAGTGTCGTACATAGACAGCGGTGGTAAATCGGACAGAGAAATAGATTTCCTTGCTTTATAGACAGTGTCAGTCAACCAGTGGAATGTCATAAAGGCGAAAAAGTTGGAATTGTCGATCGGAGATGGTACTTTTCTCCTGTAATTGAAAGAGGAGAAATTTTGTAATATTCATATCAATACATGTAACCGGTATATTACCGTGCGATGTGTGATATCGAAATTGATGGCGGATGATATATCAATCAAAATTACCCTTTGGTGGGTATTTAAATGAAGCTGTTTGAAAATATTTGTTCTGCACCCCGATCCGTACCTGGAATAACTATAAGTATATTTATTTGTGTTAATATATGAGATGTGTTGGTGTGATATGAGTTGGGGTGCGTCAGGGCTTGAATATTTTGTTCAAAATACACGTATATATACCTAATTAAACACGAGTTACCCACAAAGAGATTGTTTTCTTTTCATCACTTTCTCTGTGGTTGGCATGACTTAGCAAGTTCAACAATTCATATCATTACGCTTCTTTCACAAATATTGTCTTTGACAATCACAAATAGATTACGACGTTAAAAAACAGAACATCGGTATTACCGTATATAAGCATAATCTGCTTAATCATTCTTCATAGTTGCATTTCAGTATTAGTAAACCTCAATCTCTCTTAAATTAAATAATTTCCCCAGAAACTTATTGGCTGAGTTGGTTTTTAGGTTAAAAAGTCTAATATATCCAGTCGCACTGTAAAATTTATACAGTGTATCTAACGCAATTTCGTTTATAAAATTTAAAGCGAATATCTCGTATTTTTAAACGATTTTAGCAGACGCCATAGAGGCGAATACATATGACAATATAAAACCACGGTTCGAAAATGATATTGCATGCAACAATGTGGTTTGCTGTGAAAGCTCACCACATATTTTAGGTATGTTTTGGCAAAACTTAAAATGTGGCGAATTGGAATAAAATACCTACTTATTTATTTTTTTCACTGTGGAAACTGAATTTTATTATTTGCACTGTTTTTATAGAATTAAATAATAAAAATATGTAAATTGCTACTGGACGTATAGTAAACAAGAATTAAATTTTATTATATTTGCCTTTGAATCGTTAACCAATTGCAATTTTGTGATGCCCTTAAATGATGTTTGGCTAGAACTGTTCAAAATGCATCCAATTTGTTCGTATTTTATGGCAATTTTTATTGCAGTAAAATTTAACAAAAAGTTCAAACTCTGGCATTACGCTACAAACAATTATTTTACGTTTCGTTTGACCGGATGTGCATCAATTGTTTAAGTACTATGGCTCGAACTCACAAATTTAGACTAGGCATAACCCTCTGAAATCATCAGAATCGAGAAACCACCGCTACTGATGCGTTTTAGAATGATTTGAATAAGCATACACAAATAATAATTAAGCACCAATCATAATACTGTATTGAGTATAGCCGCCTATAGAAATTTAAATGTGTTACTATTGTATACTATATTTTGCTATTCGCATACAAATTCCATCGATATAATTTTCAACAATAAAAACACATTACTTTGTGATTCGAATGGGTTTGGCTGATTGCATGCTCCTCCAGTACTTTCCATGTTTAGCATCGCCTGCATACTCTTTCATTGTTATTTTTCTTTTGTCATTTTTTCCTCCGTGACCTTTGGCAGGACCACCATTGCTTTCCTTGGTCCCCATAACACTTCGTTTGGTTTGGTTGTTTTTGTGTATAAATTACCAAGTAATATTTAAAAGGAATTTCTACGGGTTATTGTAGCAAACCATGCTGTAGAACAAAAAGATTGGTATTCAAGTTCGCCTTCTGAAGCCGAGATAACATTGTATGCATATAATTTTTTTTGTCGTGGCCATTGTCTATACTCTATAGCAATTATATTTGTATCGAAACGCATTGCATTTAGTAACTGTTTCACATCGAATAATTAAGACTGTAGTCTCAAATGAGGATTGACGACTGAATCCTACTGGTGACATTGCTTAATATCTCTTCTGCAATTTTCCAGCTTTTCTCCTAGTCATGTCTTAAAATAATATTTCATATATTACGAGATATTACCTAATAGTCTAATTCTATTAATTTCATCGTAAATTTTAAATGTCGACGGATTACATCAGCCGAAACAGTAAAAACGCTTAACTAACACACTGTGTCCAACGAATAATCGTTTCCATATAAATTTACAACCCGTCAACAAATGACGTACCGCAGCCGAAACTGACTAATGTGCAAGTGATATGAAAGGTAATGTCTATCCTACCTAAAGCATGAGCATAAATGACGTAGTCGACCGTTTTCTATAGAAATATCATACAGCGGAAGGGCACTTGGGATGCGTCGGTGGGTTAAATATATTTATGCTGAAGTATAACAGGTTTTTGGCATTTTTGCTCACTAAGCTATGTGTCCACCAGGTCACCGCATCTGACTATCAAATTCGTATCAATGGCGTTGACGTCATATTGCAAAAAGTGTATTTAAAAACATGGTGAATGTCGGTCCTGCATGATAGCTTTACAGGAGGTCGCCGTCTAGATGTGGAAGATCAGCAAAAGTAAAACGATAACGATGAATAATAAAAATAGATTTTGATGGACACATATTGAATATATATATATAGAAAAAAATAGATTTTTATATTTTTTTTAAAATAAGTTTTGCTATCTTCTCTCGCAGTTTTAGAAACAGATTCCACTAAATACGAAACTAAACTAGTTCATACAGAAGCCGCTGTATTGGCAGCGTTTGTAACTCGATGATATCTTATTGATCGATATTTTTGATACTGATAGCAATAATCAAAATCTCAAAGAAAATTCCTAAAAAATAAAAATGCCATTTAAAAAATAAACGCTAAAACGACCATATGAGAATAATCTCTCAATCTATCCCAAGTGCTGCTGAGGTAATACTTTCCTTCTAACTCACTGTATGAGTTGTGAATCTCACCCCATCTCTCGCATCGGTTTATAAATGTTTCCGTTCGCATAATGTATGTTTGTTCAGTCTACACACACACTCCTCCCTGTCCTTGGTGCTGGGTCATCGTACCTTCGACCAAGAAAAGTAAGGATTAACTAACTAGTGAACTACTTGAAATACGATGACATGTCGTGCGTTGCTATAAGTTTCGAATATTTTTTGAACATAAAAAATAGTAGTTACCTAAGTTCATAATTTATACTTTCATCGTATAGCTTTAGACAATGAAATTGAGAATACATAATATACACTCCGATGCATAAATTTTGACAAAGTCAACCCTTTGTCACGTATAAGAAAATGCGCAATACCAAAAGTCTCACATTTCTGAAGCTATTATTTATATTTAGAAGACAAAAACAAAGTTTCAAAATCTTGTAACGCTATTGTACCATACATGATATCGATTTTAGCTTCAATGGGTCCAGTACACTGATTTTCTGAATAAAATTATGTAAAATTCTGTATGCGTCATAACGGCATCATACAACTCCATGTTTTCTCGGATAAATTTAATTATAGTATCGAAACATGATATGTGTCTAAAATTAAATCCTATCGGCTTTTAAGATTTTAAAAATCAAAGAAAAGTTGATCTACGGAAGAATTCTTGTGATGCGGTGCACATGTGGTAAAACAAGTTATGACGTAGATTGCGACATACATTTCCGTATTGCAGAATTTTTGACAAACAGATGACATTGCTACTACATATTTCATTTTGACTCGAACAGAAATGGTTCTTACATATAGTAACTTACTTTCCAAACGGGCCGTGAATGTTTGCAGTAAAGTTATTCCAAATTATGACCTATTAGGCTATGATAATCAGGTCATATATCATGTATACGTTTTCATCCGAGAGGCTAGTAACATATTTACAATGAGTAAACTGTAACTGAGTAATGTATACAAAGACGACATAGATAAGGCAAAAGCGATCGCTGAAGCAGTTCTATGATTCTTATAATATTGGTTGGCATAATATGTACCTTATGATTCGCAATTGGCGAGGTCGTTCAACTTTGCCACCGTTATTTAAATGAGATAGATAGTAGCGCACCATATACGTATTTTGTGAATGGGGCCACCAGAGTATTGCCAAACAATAAAATAGTAATAGTGTAATGTGTACAATGAAGAAATATGTTTTCGAATAAAAATGAAAATACAATATAATTATTCAATATTATACGAGAGTTCTAAATAACAAACCATGTAAATGCAATTCTGTTTTAATCGTTATGAAATTCTAATTTAGGCTATTGGTATTATTTTGTTCTTGAAAATAAATGATTCTGTGGTACAATGCCCTCGTCACGTTTTAAAATAACAAATCAGTAATTAGCCAGTTAGGGTTCGGGGTAGGAACGGTTTGAAAATTTAAATTTCCAGCGCAATCTGCATTCTGGCCCTCACCCTATCTGAATAATTAATATTATATTTTAAGCGAGGAAAGGGGTGTTTTGTTTGGCGGGGGCTTTCTACAAAAGATGCAAATAAATATATGACCCGATAAATTATTTCATGACATTGCGTATACTTTATGTTCAAACTTTGTATTGTTTTAAAATATAGCTCGCAGTAAGCATGGGTGCCATGAAATGCAAGTTTACCCGAAAAGATTCTAAAAATGGTTTATCTTTTTTGTAGCCTATTAATCGCATCGACCTGGAATTGTCCAATGTTGGAATAACTTTTTGAAAACGAGGTGGACTTGTCCATCGTTTCGTCATTCTGTATTCTTATTCTCGTTGTTATGAAAAAAATCGCTTTTTTCATTAACGATTGAACCAATTGCTTTGGAATTTTTAGTGGTTAAAGATTGTATTTTCTACTAGGAGGCTATTACTTTTATTTATATCTTTGTAACACACGATAAACCTAATGACAACCGACATTCCACAAAGCTGAAAGCATGTCTGTAATACGTATTGATAAACCAGCGGATATCTTCATGTCGATCATCCCGTGTAATCCGTATGGTCAGGAAATGTTTATCCCCTTAATTTGTGTATCGATATCGTCCTATGCTCTTGAAAAAATATATATAAACTTATTTTTATATTCGACGTTTTCTCCTTATCACTTGGTGAAAGGCCCTGCAACAGCGTCCACTGATATACTTATGGTGGCCCTATTTTCAATCCCTAAAAGAGGGATACATTGTTCGGTAAAACCATATTTCACTAGTGACTGAGATATACAATATAGATATATACATATATACTAAATTCTTTAAGATTAAATACAGAGGTGACAATAGAGGAAGTGACGACAATGAGATAATGCACTTTTGTCTTTATAACAAGGCATCTACGGAACAATCGATTTATGTGTCCTTAGACCATGCGGGGCTACTCAACTGGCGGATCGCGGTCCGAATCTGGACCATTCGAGTATTAAATTTGGACCGCAGCGGCTTATTGACTCTGAATGCATCGCTTCTTTTATTTCACAATCGTGATGTAATGCGTTTTTTGCTAAACCACTGAGAAAAAATTGTCATAGCAATATACAGATATAAGTTTCTCTAAGCACCGAATCACTTATTTGCTCCCCTAGTATTGGCGAATCAGCATGATGTCAATAGTGGCGTTAAAATGAAGTTTCAGCGTCTGCTTGGATACTTTTTCACAAACTTTTAAACAATAGATTGTATTTGTGGCTTTGCATGCTACTGTATTTGTCAGTTGTTAGTTGTTTTTCGGAATTTAAAAATAGATTAAAAACCCGATTTCACAAAATAGTATACTTTCACTTCCTAGAACCAATATTGAAATGATTGACTGGCAAAAACGAAAAATGTGATTTCTAAAACTAACGATTGATAAATGACTTTGCTATTGGACCCAAAGTCGACTAATGAATCGTATTACGGAAATTCCCGTGAACGTTCCGTTTTTTCTTAATATTATATATTTGAAAATATCGTTTTTCTGCGCAACTAATATATTCCAAATTTTCAGTCTTGAAGGTAATTAAAATCGCTGGGAGACTTTCAAATATATTTTTACGGGGTGCTATTAGAGGATTATGTTAAATCTTTTTCGCAAATTCGGCGTTCAGTTAACAACTGAAGCCTTGTTATAATGACACCGAAGCGCGATATTGAGCATTGTATTTTGTCAAACGATGCATTCGAAGTTTAGGTTACATAGTTAAAATATGGTGACCGTACATTTGAACCCATGTACATTTGAACCCATGCGTATATCCACGGGTTCAATCTATATGCGGGTGCTAAAACCCATGGGTTAGGGTTAGTATGGGTTTAACTATCCGTGAAACAAAAAAAATTCCATAGGTGCAATAGCATACAGGTGCAATTGTCATGGGTTCAAATGTAATGGAACCTTAAAATATATTTGGAATTGCCGGACCCCGATAATTTTTAAATTTTGTGTCCGGACCGTTAAAGAAAATAGTTGAGTACCCCTTGTCTTAGACAATGAGTATTTGGCAGTTCCTTCAATCTTCGTCAACATTGCAGGGTTAATTTTTGCAATATCCTAATACTGGCTGCAAGAAAGATCGTTAAACTTGTAAACTAATATATTAGTGAGTATACTAGCAACAGACTAAAATAGTAGGTTCTCGCGTTCTTTCAACCATTGTGGTTGCTTTAAAGCGAAAATGCGCTCAACGTTGGCGTTATGCGAAATAATGCTGGAGTAATATGGTGTGATCTCAATCAGTTCGCTGGTGCTGTAGGTTTTGAAATAATCTGTCCATCTTTCATGTGACATGAGTTTACAGTTTTGAATTGAAGTTGCTTTTCTACGAACTTGCATAAGTTCTGGAATTGGTCGAACAACTTGGTTTTATTAATCGAAACATTTTTCTCAAGAAAATACTCAACGTACGGTTCAACAATTCTCCACTCGGTGTTTTGGATCAGAAGCATCCGGTCGAAGAATTTGAATTCCTCAAACGAAGCTGCCCATTTCTGAGATATTGCACACAAGACACATCTGAGAGGAATACATCACATTTACGGCCATTCCATTCGTCTCTATGTCTACGCGACTCAGATTTAATTTGGGTTTGTATGAATTTTTTTTTTCTTTTTCTAATCGTGAATTTAACAGTGTTATGACAGTATTTGATTTTAATAATGAAAACCTTTGAATGTTCAACATGCTTAATTTGATCACTAAACACAGCAACAAACGATTGCAAATGTTTTAAATATAACTCACTCACAGGATTTTCATATAATATTTTTAGAGCAACAGGTGGCTATTCAATAAACCGGAAATATGATTGCAGGGCAGGGTACATCCGAATTTTGCTAGATAAACTTGGATGAGGTGATACCCATTTGTTCATGTAGTGGGAAAGTAGTTTTTTATACTGTGTATCCACAAAGTTACAATAATCCTGCAGCTCTTTGGTGCGTACAGTGTATATGCAGAAATACTGGTAAGTTTTGTAAATAATATTTTACACATCAATGCTCATCTGATCGGTTCCATGGTGTAAACACTTATTCAAAACATGTGCAGGGAAACCAACCACAACAAAATCTGGCAGATCGATTTGCAATCGAGAAAATACGTTATTGCCGACTCGACGTCGCGCAGTGCGGACGTATTTGTGAGCATAAAATTGAATACAAGCTATCTTCTGTTTCGTGGATTAAACTGGACACAACGCTACATCAATACGGTGAGATCGTTTCTGTATATCTGGTCTGTATATACTTCTGTATAAAACGTGACTGAAATCCAGTACAAATTTTCTTCCGAGTGTGACCGTTTATCACGGATAAAGCTGTTTTGAGTTATAAGACGGACGGCGAGGAATCGCCAACCTTTCCGCAGTGGGGAAGAGGAAGGGGGACGATAGTAATTTTAATGCCCCAAGTAAAGTAAAAATCCACACAATAAGTCAAGAAAATGACGTCACATACACCTACTTTGTTGTACAGGGTACTCAGAATAAGAGGAGAACGTACAATTCTAAAGTTATACAAAGAAATTTAGTGCAAAACTTTGGAACATTAAAATCGGTCCGTGTGCTTGGTTATGGGGATTTAAAAATGGAATGTTCAAACGAAAAGCAAGTTAAACTACAGTTGGAATATGATGATATCGGCGATAGCACAACCAGCATTTTAGTGACGACCGAATTGTTTGTAAACAATGACCAAAAAACTAAAGTGATAATTATCGATGTGCCAATTGACATGGCCGATAATTGTTTGTTGGACGCATTATCCGTTGTGTTGTCTTTTCGAAGGCAAGTTTGTGCAGAGTATACCAGTTTTGCTTAGTTTTAACACATGCATTGTACCATCAATCGTATCTATCGGCTTTATGCGATTCAGTACCAGAGTTTACAACCTTCCGCCGATTCGTTGTTTTAAATGTATTAGATTGACAATGTAGCTAAAAATTGTCGTTGTTCAGTTCACATCGCTGCACATTGTGGCTGCGAAGCATATAAAAGGAAACGATTGATTCAGAAAACAATGGCGAGTACAAAACTATCGTATGAGGAGGCAAAGAACCATATTAAACAAACTTTTTCAGAACACATGCAATTTTCAGCAAATGAAATTATTTTCCGGCTCTTCCCAGTTGTTATGATTTGAAAGATATATTGTTAACATACAAGTCATCTCAACAAGTGCCTATTATTGGTCAATCTAATCAAGTAAAAGAAGATAAGAATGCACCTATATCTCTGGACCCAATACCATTTTTTGATAAAGAACACGTTTGAGGTTTCTCAAAGTGGAAAAGAATGTGATGTTTACTCTATTGTCTCGATGTCCGCTGGCGCTCAATTTGGTTTCGATGTCGACGCTGGCAACCTTAAAAATGCAATAAAAAAGCATTCAACCAAAAAATAAAACTAACTATCATCCAATAGAATATACCGGAACCCGGGAGAAATAAAAATTTTTATTCGTGCTTCACACCCAAAACCTGACTTAAGAGCCCTTCAAGAAAGCAATCTGATAGGATGCTTGTTATCTTAAAAGCAATCCTAAATAGAGCTCAGTTAAAAGCACAAACTCTCGATTAACTAGAGTTTAACCCAGCACACAAATTCCCTCTGACTCAGTTAGGGCCCTAAAAACGGAGTTGGGGGTTTCGGCATAATAATCGTGTCTAAAATTGTACAAATCTCTACAAAATAATAACGTAAAAAATATAAAATTGTAAGATAACACTGAATTTATAACATAATTAATTGAGTGAATTGAGGTTATCCCTGATGCTAAAATAGTAATTCGATTTTCAATAAAAATAACATATATAATAAAGATATAATAAAGAAAAATATCTTTTTTTGTCATTTGGGTCATTGAAAGTATGAGGGGAATGTATATGAACAACAGTCGGAGTGTTTTCTCTATTTGTTCTATTTAACTTTGGGCCAGGATTTACAGGAATAATTTCCAGAGCGGGGTTTCTTAAATCTACCGTAAAATTGCCTAGCTCTGTTATATACCGGCGTTGTTGAGGTTCTTATTATTGGTATCATACGCTTTATGAAGAATATGGTCAATACAATACCCCAAAACATAGCTATGTGCCATGCCAGCATGTATATGGCCGATAAAATTGGATGACTGTAATAAATGATTTCAACTTTGTTTTTATTTATATTAAATTGATTGTTAGTATTGGATTTGAAGGACGGCTTGTGTTCCAATAATTTCTTTTTGTTGATCAAGTTCAGATGATTGATCGAAATTAGAATATTATTGAAATCTTCAAAGCCCGAGTGTCCTCCATGGGACATATCTTGGAATATCTTTTGATATTTTAACGGCTTAAGGTTTTCATTGATTCTTGTTAAAGTAGGCTATAAGATTGTATGTGGGCATTTGTATGAGTAAGAGTATAATTTATATACGTATAGTATCGCCCATTGATTGAAAAAGTAGACGTTCGTCCAGAAACCTAGTCTCCAAAAAAATGTATACCTGCGTAGACATTCGTATCTGTGAATGGTATCATGGTATTATGGTATCATTATTTTTGTTTAGAAAAGTTACGATTGGCCTTGTCGCATACGTATTATTATAACATGATGAACGTAATATAGTAACATTTATATTCTCACAGTGTATTTCTGTGAGGATATCCCCTACCGTTATAGCAGCATGTTTGCCTCCTAACACTTCATTCAAAATTTGACCTGGATATTGTTTGTTAATAATTGTACAATAATTATTTAGTAGTGCCAAGCATATTGACAGTTAAAAAATTTTTTATGTATTGTAATGGTACAAAAAATACTGAAACCTAATGTTATAAACGTAAAAGAAAGTAATATAAAGTTCAGGCAATCAATATTTAACAATTAAATAATTTGTTAACGTACGTAAGAGATAATGCAAATGTGACACAATTATTAAGTTAGTTGATAATAAATGGATATTCAAATTTTACGTAAAGAAACCTAAACACTTATTATTCAATGAATGAATTAAGAACAAAAGTGGACATCATTAAGTTTTGAGGGCCGATTATTGATGTAATGTAAGATATAAATACTGAACGCTCTTTTAGGACTGTGGACTGTTTTAGTTTTCCCTTTGTCCCCAACTAAAACTGGCATAGATTGACAGAAAAGAGAACGCACTGGCGACAAGAGAACTAAGAGTTGAGACTTTTCCCAGAGGCGTAGATGCCGCTTGCTTTGTTCCTGATTGTTTATTAAGGAGGCACCTAGACGACAGGTTTCACCCATAATCCGATGTATTGTGTTAGCCTTGTAATATCTAACAGGCAACTGCAGTCTTCTCGCATGTGCCAAATTGCTTATTAGTACATCTGCGGTATACCGAGGTTTAAAAAAGTTTATCCAGTTTGAAGTAAAGCAGCGTTCGCCGGGCGGTACTAGTTTTACTTTAACTGCCTTCTGCTTCGTTGAGTTCTTGAACAATGCAGAGTTGTTTTTGGGAAAAACTACTATTCCCTGAAATGTTGGTATAAGTCATCCGAAGAACAGATCAAGGAAACAGCAAAAGCTCTTTAGGTTCTAACACTTGCCGGGTTATTAGCGTGCTTTGAGGTATACTGACCGGTACCCGAGTCATCCCATCAAATACCTCGTCAATGGCATTAAATTTTGGGAATGTCAAATCGGGATCATCTAATTTACTTTTTAGGATTGCGTCCACAACCATCTGCTCCTCTTTGCGAGTTGAAACTATTCTCATTGCGTCGTCCGCTACGCAGCCCCAGTTATCTACGAAATGGCAATTACTATGAAGAATATAGACAATATCTCGAATTTCCTCATGTTGCAAACACGGATTTTGAAGCAATGTAATAATTTTCTGAAGCAATTTGTCATTCGCTAACTTTACGAAGTGCCTTAGAGGTAACGCCTTGATAAACATCATAAATTGCATAGATATCCAGATCGGGGCGCCTTGGGGTGGCGGAAACTGGCAAAGATCCCCATTGGCAATGACGAACTTATGCCCAAACGGTTCATCAGAAGACATAAGTTCTTTCGTGCATCGGTCCAGCATTCCGTATATCCGCTGAGATTACACCAATTTCCTCGTTGCAATAGAACCATTTTTTTGCCACATTTTCTTAGATTCTGCATCATGCGACAGTATGATCTTTTTGGGTTATGTCATGCTTTCCGGTACCAGGTATTGGGAAAGTTGTTATCCGGGTCAGCCAATATCGCAATAGAAACGTCTTCAGCCGTCAGGAGTTGCGCTACTCCAGCACTCAGTAAAGCCGCTCGTAGTGACACAATCAAGGAATGTCTTTTAGCCATCACTATCATCATTATTTCTTTATCGACTGTAGTTCTTATTGCCAACCCGGAAATTGGAGGAATAGTTGAAAAAATGTCACCAGAACCACAAACAATTTCAGTTATAAGTTCATCAGCTATCTTTGATAGTCTCTCTAATTTTCTCCTTGTAAGAGCAAAGTGATGCCCTTCTTTGTCAATATAAAGTTTAAAAACTTGATTTGCATTCTGCTGATTAAAAGAAGATTTCTTTGAAATAAGTCCAGATCGTACGAAAAACATCTCGGAAGAAATTAGCCTCGTGAAATAAATCCAATTCGGTCTCGTAATGGAAGAGGTAGAGTCCATTTCGTGTAAGAAGTTCCGCACCTTGTTGAGTCCAGATCTTTTTATCTTATCGTAAAGTTTGTCCGTCATCGGATCTGGAGATAAATGGGAATTTGAAGAAGCTTTTTTATCATTGTACACAAATATTTCACGATATGAAAGCAATTTATCGATTGGAAAAAGCTCAGGGGGCCGTATATTAAATTTTTTCCGTATTGGAATAGGCAAGCTTGAAATCAGCATACTCTTGCGTTTGGAGCTGTTGGCTATGAGAAAAACGCCTCCAATGAAGAACGGTATCAACTAGTCTGCAATCAATGAATGGTTGACGACCACTAGTTATTCCATAGTTACACTGATGTGCGGCAGCATTTTTTGATTTGACTCGCCAAACGCGATACTCCGGAGGATTTGTATTGACATGTATAAAATCAGCAGTTGATGTTGTATAACTAGCATCGTTAATAAAGGTATTCATTTCGTAATACCGTAGTAGTATAATATTTACGGTAATACCCAATCTCAGTAACTGCTAAACCTCTTATGTTATCCGTATTTGTACTATTATTTGTATTTGTACCTCCACTGTGGCTCTCTTTACCTACGTGATACTTTATTAAATACGATGTTGCGAAACGATGATCACAAGCCGTACAATTGAAACTGGACCCCAAAGCACATTGTAGTAAAGGTATGGTCGGCAGATAAGTTGGCGGGCTGATCGTCAGGTAATGGTATCTGCCACTTCGTAGCTTGCGATCAACCAGCTTTACGTGGCTGGACACCAATCCATCCATTTGGCGATAGTTGATGTGTTCCTCAAATCCTATCTTACGCATTCTCTCCATCATGTCAGGACAATAAAGATCGTGTTTTTCTTGAAAAAAGTACTGAGAACTTGTTGGATGCTTAGGAACTCTACATACTACCTCTCCTTTGTCGTTTTTCCGCTTCAACCAGCGTTCTCCCGCTCTTGAACAATCATGAGTTGACATTTTGAGATACAACTTTTTGAGGTCATCGAAGTCGGAAGAATTTTCAACGATGCCTTTCTTCGGGAATGGATGACGTGTGACCCCGAACCGTTCGTCATTAAACACAGTTTCGGGATTGCAAGAAATGCGACCCAGTGTTGTTTCCTCATCTTCGTCGAATAAAGCAGCGCCAATGTGGACGTGTGCTTTGTTGCCAGGTGATACAGTTGATTGAAATTCCAAGCGGGCAAACATATGCTGTAATGGTCCGGCTGTTAACAAGATACTTAAGAAAAACGTTAATGAAACGAAGCCACATTCTATTAATCATACCCATGTTAGCATATTAAAATTCGTAAATAATCAGAACGATACTTGCTCATTTTTTTCATACTACCGACAATCCGCATGATTCCTGGAGTGTGTACTTCGCTACATGTCATTGTCATCCAGTATTTCCAGGAATATTTTGCAGTGAGCGCTGTCAACTCCCGGATTTTAACATTGCTGTCAGATTCATCGTAGGGAAGAGGACTGTCTTGCGCTAAACAGTGAAGCTATCGATTCTCGGCGATATGTTCAAGTCCTCGTCTAAGAGCAAAGTTCAGATGAATTACTATTTAGTTTATCGTTGAGCTTAAGATCAAAATATGTATGCAAATTAGAATGTTGTTGACTCGAAGGAAGATGGTGATCGTGTATGCGGATCCTATCATCTTTGGACCGTAGATATCTCGAAATATGAGAGGCGGATGCACGACAGGAATGTTCTTAATGCATGGCGCCAACATGAGAATTCTTTTCATTCCACAGAAAGTGGTCGGGAGAAGTTGTGCTTCAGGAAAGAGTAAAGATGTTGTTGCGAAAGTAAGTTTTGAGTCTTCGCATCTTTTCTGTGAAGTACGTTTCTTTTTAGAGCCTGGAAAGTGTCATTCAGTAAACAAGAGAGCAATGCTCAAATATATGGACACGCAGAACAATTCTCGTAAAAATCATATTCGGTGACTTACCAGTACCTGTATAAACAACGCACCACATCACAGGAATCAAACAGACAAAAACACGGTGGTAGCAAATTGGTTGACAAAGATATTATCGACGTATTGGAAATGCGCACCCCCCTATTCTCCCTCCTTTAAATGTAAAAACGCGAAATCGTTAAAGATGGTTAAAAGAAACACAACTCTACCCACCTGCCAAAGTTC